GGAACTTATGTTCTTGAGTCGTGACACTTGTACTTTGTACGACATACCATTGTTTCGGAGGAATCCCATGGGCTGTGACCTCATGACAGGAAAAGTAATTTTGTGATTCCGAAGGGTCATAATAATATTTACTTTACACTTCATTTTATGTGATATTTTCCCTAAGTAATTTCCTCATCGATATTGACCTTCTATGTCTTAACAATGCTAAATTACATTATATATGCGCATTTCGTAACACACCAATCAGCGTTGTAAGTTAGCAATGTGAGTTGGCGTTAGAAGCTCGCCCCAGCTCTCATATCATGTTTCTTTAAGGAGTTGTCGCACTAGTCGAGTAGGTCTTCGGCTCAATCGTTCAATACTTAAAATGTTCACCATCAACATTTCGGCTCAATCGTTCAATACTTAAAATGTTCATCATCATTTATCATCAACAAATTGTAAAATTTACAAATAATGACCAAACAACACGCACATTTTTTTTAAAATGTGACAGTTAAGATAAGCAACAACTTAGGACGGTTAATCCAGACAGGCCGGGTGGTAATACCACGATATGCCATACATGAAAGTAAAAACGGATCATTCTTCAGTCCAAATCCGATTTGCATAAATTATTCAGACGGGTACAGTGGAATATGCCCGCATAATTTATATACAAGAATGCCAACCTATTGAACCGAATGTAAACACTAACCTTCTTTGGACTATAACTTATATGACATACAACGACTATGATCTTTGAGGAGCTTATTGGTAGTTGCCTTGCACTTGCATCGAGTGTAATATTTCCAACACCTTCATTATCTCGAGAAAGTGGGCTGGAGGTAAACCGGTTGATCGCCGAGGAAAATCATGAAGAAGAAGAAGAATACGATGGTTTAATTCACCGCGAGTATGAGCCGCCAAGAGTTAACGAAGCGCCAAATCTCGAGGATGGATCCAATGTTTGGTTACAAGGTGAAAACCCAAGCAAGAATTTCTTTGCCGAAGTTTTAAAACAAATATCGGAATTCTTATGGCGGTTGTTTTCATGCTCAGCATCCCCACAGCGGGAGTCGTTTACGTCGATTTAAATACGACTAACATTTGCGTAGAATGGATAAATAGAAATGTCACTCTTCCATCGCACGTACAGACTCTGAGAACTATTGGAATGGCCCTTAAGCTACTACCGTCGTTCGCGTGGTTTCCAACCTGCGTTGCGATGTTGTGGGGCTTCAAAGAGTTCAAAAATAATTACTTCTTATGTTTATTCATATGTGCGTTTTTAACGGGATCAGCCACTTGTGTGTACAGGATTATAATGTTTGACAAGTTTACAAATGTCAGTTACACTTTATACAGGTAAGTAGCTACATGAAGGCGTTAGGTGTATATGTATAAATCATGTAAGATTAATGTTGTCAAAACATCTTATAAAGCATTACGTTTCCAACTGATATGTCACTAAGCAACGTAATGTCTTTCTGTTATAAAAGTAGTAGTTGCAAGTGAAAACCTATTATAAACACTCAGAACAACGCAAGCAGGATACATATACTTTTCGCAGCCACTTAAAAGCTGACCTTATACGGCGAATTACACTGCCCCTTTGGGAAATTTTTGTTGCCTAAATGAAAAGTTGGTCTATATATTATGCGAAATCTCTCAAAATATGATGTTTTTTCTAGACATCGCACACAAATTAATTGGTTTTCTGAAACTATTGTAAACGTTTAAAACAACACAAGCATGATACATATACTTTTCGCGTAGCCACTTGATGACCTTATAATTGGGGATGACACAGATGGAAAACACTTTCCGGCTGATCAATATAAACCACTGAGCTATAATATAAATGGAGAGAGCAACCATAGATACAGAAATTGAAGCCGGAATTTGCTGCGGCCGCCATCTTACTGTGACCACCTTGAGGGGTGAACTATAGGGAAAATGTGATATTTTCCGCTGTTTGAATTGGTATGTTTGATTTGATTTAGTCCTCTACCTCGCAATAACAAAACAAAAACAGCGGAAAATTTCACATTTTCCCTATAGTTCACCCCTCAAGGTGGTCACAGTAAGATGGCGGCCGCAGCAAATTCCGGCTTCAATTTCTGTATCTATGGTTGCTCTCTCCATTTATATTATAGCTCAGTGATATAAACGAGCTGTGGAAGTGTAAGTAATTTTCAATTTCAATTACTCAATTGTAATGAGTAAAACGATGCGCTTTCCTTACAGCGTGTCTATACAAGGATAGAATCCGCACTTAATATGCCCCAATGCTTTGCCGCCTTTGCGGATTGCAAATCCATGACCAAGAAAGAGGAGTAATTTAGCTACATTTTCATGTAATGATAGCTTAAAAACCAAATTATAGTGTTTTTAAAACATTAGGCTCATATCATACAAAAGATCATGCGAAAAACGTAAATATATGTAAATGACTAAAAAATATAGATTATAAAATAAAAAAGTACTTCGCTTGCTCGTGACATTGACTGACGAAGTTTTCATTCACATCTTAAATAAAAAATGAAAGCGAATGCACCAAAGATTATGAGGTGTAAATTTGTTTATTGCATGGGGAAATTTGCTTATATTTCTCTATACCCAGAGGATATCATATTAAGGCCCCATGTAATGAAAATGGCATTCCGCAAACCACTCAATCCGATTTGATGAAAATGATAATCGATGTTGTTTTATTTTCTTTTTTTAGATTACCCAGCAATCTCCTGTTTACAATTTCTATTATTTGTGGGGCTTACTTCGTCGCTCGTAAATTTAAAGAAGTCAACCCGTCAACATCGTACAGTGTATTCCGCATTTTCATAACGCTCTTGTTCGTCTTCCTCGCGTCCTGCCTGGTTGGTTATCTCTACACCTTTGTCATCATCAAGTATTTCAGGGAAACGAAAGGAAAAGTCAAAAAGGCCATAATCGCTGCACTCACGCCAGGAATGATCTTGCCACTGACGGCAATTGCCAAATACATTGTTCTCAGAAAAAGCGCAGAAATCGTAGCACCAGATCGTGCCTTTGTGTTGTGCTATGTCCTGCGCGGCGCTTCGATCGTTCTCTACCGGACTATGCAGTCCGGTTTCCAAAATATCTGGCTTTACGTAAGTTTGTCGCTCTTGCACGGAATTTCTAACGTTCTGAGTAAGGCAACGCTCAACTTTCGAATGAAAATTTGGACAGTTTTTATAAGGATCCTTAATAGAACAAGTTGTGGACTGAGATTAGATGTGAGATCTTTGAACTCACCACGCGTTCGGCGATTAAACGCAGATCTTGAAATGCAGAATATCTTATTTGAGTACAATACGATCATTTTAAGTCAGGCCTTTTTAACCTGCCATCTTGTATTGAGCTACGAGGTATCATCCTGGGACGTCATAAAAGATTCTTTAACCAGAACTGCTATTAGTTTTACCGTGGATTTTGTATTCAATATGATGTCCGTGTTTATTCAAATTCACTTTTACAACATTCCAATGCATTTGATTTGGATGAAATACTGGAGTCGTCACGTGATCGCTAATGCCTTCATGATAATCCTGTACGTTTCATATTTTGGTTCAGTTCTCATAAGAGTTTTCGCTGACAACAACGATTCATTAAAGCTTAGGAATTGCACAACAGTATTTTAATAATTTAATTGTAGGAGAAAAGATTAAAACTACTCCTGACGGAGTGAAATCCGAGTCAAATCCCACCCAGTGACGGGGGTGTGGGCTGGACAAAAAGGGCAAAATTGCGAAACTTAAAAATTTTTTTGTAGGCGTAATCGCAGCATAATAATATAGATTTATTCTCTATTTAAATATGTAAGTGAAGATTGCTTTGCGTAGACGCAAGTCGTGAGTTCAGCCAATTTTAGTGGAGCAAAGGGGGGCCACAAATGGCTGATTGACGGAGGGTCCTAGGGGGTTGCGTCACGCCACTGGCCAAGACTTTTTTAAAGTGTTGAATACAAAAAGAATTTTTCTCGCTTTGATCAAATTGAAGATAAAGGAATCCAATTAAGCTGACGGAAAAGTAATATTGTAGTTTTAGTAGGCATGTTATTAATTCTTTGTTTGCATTTACAACAGAATGTGTGCAACAGTATAGTAGACGCTATTGTGGGTGGATTAGTGCAGATTAAAACTGATTACTGCATTGAAAAATAAGGTGGCTGGGCCTGTGTATGCGTCTCAACAGATAGAGGCTGGAGTTTATTATATTGTAGATAGTGTGAATTTGCTTTTCCCATTTCAAATATTGGTCAAATGTGGCTCCAAGTAGAGTAGCGGAAGTAATCTCCATGATCATGAATAATATTGTTGTTGATATGAATAGTTATTGGGTCAAGTTCTGAAAATTTGGGTTGGGAATATATTTTCATAATACGGAAATGTTTCGTGTCGATTTGGAAAGAATTACACAGCCTTCTTCAAAACATTCTAGCCGGCTAGCTATGTAGCGCGTGGCCCTGGATCTAGTGTGACTGGCATGCAAATTGTATATTAAATTGTGGCGATCCTACGCAGACGCTACAATATATATAGCAACAAGGAGAAACGGCGTTTTATTACATTCAATTTTACACCTTTCTGCAAGAATCCTATATTATATAGGAAAGTAGTAAGTACATTTATTTTAAGAATATCAGTATTGCTCAATATTGACGAAGGACAGCATTTTATTATATATTTCATTGTATATTTGCAACTTAACCTCCGTCTTAGTTTGTTTATCGGTATAAATTGTGACTGTGGTTTGTAGTGTATTATGGACTGGAATTTATTCGAGAAAACACATGATAAACAAGTTTTATATGTTTGAATGTATATTTAATGAAACAAGTTGCATAATCATCGGTTATATTGGTTATTGTTGGTATGAAATATAACTCCGTACAGCCACCTGCCGGCAATAGCAATGTTTGTGAATGTCTCGGCTGTTAAGTATCAAGAAAATATTTACAAATTTTGTTCTCTGTATGGCGGAAATAGCGATATCCATGGATAGCACTTCTTTGTTGCTTGATTACCGTCAAGACAGGCGCATATATTTCTAGATTTCAGTTCGAAAATAGGAAATGACACAACTACAAGTAAATATCGGCTCTTTTGGCTCTATGAAGCAACGAAATCGGTCACAGTCGCCAATATCGAGATAACCGTGATTGTAACCGATATTTATTCTTTATATTTTACCGTTTTAGTTTTGTCAGCATATATATCGAGATAAAGCCAAATATATTATCACCAAATCGATATAAAGGTCTGGCTGTATCGACTTTCGGTTTTAAACTATTTAGTAAACACTGAAACAGGCAGTGAATAATTATTCAAAATTTTTGCATAACCTCGTCCCCAGGGTCTTTTTCGTAGCGCGCCGAGGGAAAAGTAAGAAGACCCACTGGTAAACACTGTGAAAATCTCCAAGATTCTTGGAGATTCAGTTCATGCTAAGTAGCGAATAGCCTTCTGAAGTGCTTACGTCACACAGTTTTCTATCTATACAATTTTGTCCCACTTGTTTCCCAGATTGCATTGCGATTCATTGCTCGAGACCGACATGACGTAAGCACCTCAAAGGTCTATTTATTTAAGTTGCTTCCGTGCAAAAATTTGAAGACTTTCACATCACGCCAGCTTTTATTTCGGTCAGTACTTAAGGAAATTCGATATTACGCATGCACTCAATCTGCGAAAATGGTTTGAAGATTTTCTCAGTGTTTATCAAGGTCTTCTCACTTTTCCCTCGGCGCTACGAAGAAGACCCTGGGGACGAGGTTGAATTAAGGTGTATATCGCTTCCACAGATACTTAAATAGCAACATGTTTATGGGTTTTATATTACTTCAGCACTCCACACTGCGTATGTATGAGCCAACTGTTCCATAGCAATGCCGAAAATTTGGACATTATACTTCCGCTGAAATTTACATATGGGGTCCAACAACACCGAGCCTCTTGAGTATATAGTAAACTGTATAATATAAATAAAGTACTGAAACGCTAAAATATAACTATTTGTACGTCGGTTATAATTTTTCTATTAAATATCACTATAGGTCGTTAACTTCGAGAAAGAAGCAAATAGAAATGTCCTCTCCATCTGGAAACGATTTTACACAGGCAGAAATATGTCGGATTGCCAAATGTATTCCACGCAACTGGAAAGAAATTGCAGGATACACTGGAAAATTTAAGAAATTTGAAATCGAGAACATTGAAATCAATAATGTTAGTTTCCGTGATGACGTAGATAAAGCAATCAGAATGTTGAATGACTACGTGAACAGATTAGGTTCCAGAGAATGTTTAGTCTCTGCTATGAGGGAAGCACAGGCAATTGATATAGCAGCGAAAGTTGAATCCAAGTATTACCAAACTCACAAACTCGACGGTTAGTACTGTTATTGTTACTGTTATTTAATTTATTGTAATAATTCATAGCCTACAGAAGTCACGTGTGGTGGCTTTATACATGGTAAAATATTATGAATGCTAATTAGGTTGGCGCATTATATATTTCTTCTATTCTGTTTGGTTGACGAGCGGTCCGTAAAAGCCCATATCCGGCCCGTGGTTCGTATATTCCGTATCCGGACGAGTATCCCGGATTTCTCATCCATTTCTGCCATATAATACACTGATTATTGACCTCGATTTTTCAATCTGTACTGTGAAATATCAGACCGAGGTTTTTTTCATACTAACTTCGCCACGGTCTGATATTTCACAGTACAGACCTCACGCTCGGTCAATAATATGGCTGCTGAACTGCGTGAGACATCTGGCATACTGGTCCAAATACGGGATATACGAACCATGCACGGTTCGGATAAGAGTTTTACGAACCGCTCGTCAACCAATCAGAATAGAGGATTTGAAAAGCCATATAATAATCATATTTATCATCTTCATTATATGTTAAAGTCATTTTAGATATTTAGGATACATGCTAATAAACGTATTGATTTCATTTGAAACTTGTGTCCTTTTTAATAATATCTTATTCCTATAATTAACTAGCTAACAGAATTTTATCCCCGGATGTTAAAAAAACTTAAAATACACAACTGCCATTTGTACAGACACCAAAGTCTTTCACGATAAGAAAATCGAAAACCTTGCAACTAAGTTGGAGAAAACCGATTTAAAAGACGGTAAGTTTAACATTTAGAAACGCCATAATGATAAGGAATTCTACAAAAAATATACTTAATATCACTTTAACTCAAACGTATGTATCTCTGTAAAGAACGTGCAAGTGGTTTTATTAGATAACATGGTTCTAAGTGCAATCACAGTTATTAGAATATACATGGTTTGGAGACTGGATGGAAGTACAATACAACTCATTATCTATGTTATTGTCCAGGTTTATGCAAAAAATGGTTCCTTATCTGTCACATGTCTATTGTATTTTAGCCCAACTAACCAATAGCAATGGCTTGGCTTAGCTCCTCAACCGTGACTTGAACAACATATTAATTCAGACCTTACTATTGGTTTATTTGTTCAAAATACAATAGGCACGTGACGAATAAGGAACAATCCTTTGCATAAATGTTCCCCGACATAGATAATGAGTTCTATTGTACTTTGATGTAGTCTCCAAACCATGTATATTCTATGAACTGTGGTGCGATATATCATTTGATTCGTCTGTGCATATATATAATTAATCATGTGTTGTCACTTATTGATACATGCATCTATATATAAATAATTTGTGTTTAACTATTCTTAATTGGTGATGTCAATTTAGCTGAGTAAATTGAAATTGTCCAACTTACAGACCTCCTCGATAAAACAAGAGGCAGTTTTTTGTTGCAGTTTTTCATGATGCATTGAATTTTATCCTTCTTTTTAGGTCCTTCTCCGAATAGCGAAGGTGGTCTTGAGGAAGCGCCTACTGTTTTTATTTCATACAAGAGGCAATCGCAGGAAAAAGTTAAAAAATTGAAGGAAAACCTTGAAAAAGGGGGTATAAAATGTTGGATGGACCAAGACATAATCGTAGGGGGTGATAAAGTGAATAAAAAACTGAGCGAGGGGATAGAAGCGTGCAAGGTATTTTAGCACAATTTAACACATTGACTTCACATCATCAATTTTTTTGATAACTTAAAAATTTGAATTGGTAATGCAAGATCATGCACAAACATATACAAGTTCGATCAACGATAACGATCGAGTGGTGACAAAATAGGGCGGGGAAATTCAGCATGCATAGACCATCGCTCTTTTACTGGGTATAAGATGATGAAAAACTTTAGACACGACGAGACACGTGTCATTGACGAGACACGTGTCAATCATATCTCAAAATCGGAGAAGAATATACATGGAATTACTAAAGCCTATTTAAATATCATAATAATTTCAGGTTATGGTATCTTGCATAACGGAGGAGTACCGCAAATCACCTTATTGCCAAAAGGAGGCTGCCTTGGCTGATAGTTTGAAAAAGCCAATTATTCCACTTTTGTTTGATTCAGTCAAGTGGCCACTACCAGGAGAGATGTCTATGTCAATAGGTGCTGATCGAGCTTACATTAGGTGTCATGAAGATCTTACAGACGAAATATTAGAAGAAATAATCAAGGCTATTGACGAACAAACAAAGAATGCTTCTTAATTAGGAATTAATTCGTGAATGTATATTTCACAGTTCTTATTTAACCTTAATACAAAGGTTAATCCTTATTTTTACAGGCCGGTTGAATCAAGCTCGTTTAGCTTAAACGGTGAATAAGTCAAAATTAAGTAACACTCTTACATCTTTCTTGAATGAGTCAACTTCAATATTATGCACTGAATATGTAGTTGTAAACAGTATCCTTGTATTAAGGTTAAAAACATTTAGTTCGCATGTTGAATAAATTATAGACTCGCTTTTGAACTTAGGGGCTGTTTACATGAGCCCGGTTACCCGAGATTCAACGAAGCGTAAAATGATTTTGAGGTATTGAAATGAGCAGATAACATGATCCTGGCAGTTGTATAATCACCACAAGAATAGCATGTGCTTGTTTGGTGTCATAAAGACTCAATACCTCAAAGTCCTCTCACGCTTCGTTGAATCTCGGGTAACCGGGCTCATGTAAACAGCCCCTTAACCACCGTTTAAGCTAAACGGGCTTGATACAATCGCCCCGGTCGTTTGTATGAAAGCCGGATAGCGCTATCCACCGGAAAGTGTTTTTTTCAATCGCTCTTACGTTACGTATTTCCTCACATTCAGATCAGAGCGGCGTTCTTCTGGACATCCTCGCATGTTTATTAACTTTTTTGTAGTCAACTCAAAAACATACTTGTGTTTTTACTGTCTTATTCATATTGATCGAATGACGAACTCAAATTTGGGTTTATTTTTCAAGAAGAGAAAACCCGTAGTTTTTAAGTGAATGACGTTTATAGGCTGATGTTGATAATAAAGCTGTAAACACGTCGGTTTCATTATTAAAATTTTAAATATTAAACGCTCAAAGTTAACGGACTTTTACAGAGGATATTGTTCCTGCACATGAGAGCTATTGGCTGAGCTAAATACCTCGCGAGGCTGTCAGCTCATGTGAACCAGTGACCGATTTTCATCGCATTTCGACACCGCGCACGGACGCGAGAAATAAATAAGAAAGAGGAACATGACTCACCTCTAATTCCATCTCTGTTATTTCCTCTAAGATCGAGCATAATGTCTTTCACAAGCCTCAGTTTATAGAATCCAACAGTCGATAATTTCGAACGTGCAAACTAGTGAATCTTATTGAATGAAGATGAATGCCAAGAACCGTATTACCTTCCAGGTTTATTCGCCTATAGGTTTATATCGTCAGAACACAGTTTTTGTGCAAGAATACTCGTCAACTGTGCGAATTCAAACTGCTTCCAGACGAATTAACGAAAGATTAGTACATAATAATTATGCAACAGCGTGGTCCGCCGGAAGACTTTGTCCGGTTATGCAAATATTTTGGTATTCACTGACTGTGAAAACAATCGATTTCTGAAGAGATGAATGTAACCATCACTTAGCCACACACGTTAAAACCAACCTAGCATTGATGTGCTGAGCTAAATATTATTAGCTATTGCTTTTATTCAAATCTTTGGCCTCTAAACAATGTACCTTTGTCCATATCTGCAAACACATATGAAACAAGCCTTGGTCGCAATTTAATTAATCCCTTTAGGTCCGTTTCAAACGTGGAACTTTTCATGTGCCAAATCGAATGCAAATGAACTTAAACACATTAGTACAAATTCTTTTTCAAATTATCCAGTTCGTCTGCTACCTGACAAAAGGTTGGAGACTCGCCGCAATTATATTTGAACCAGGCTTAACAATGCAAAATTTGAGCAATTTCAAAACCAGGCTCCTCTTCCCCGCGGCTAATGTTACGAGCAAAACTGACGGACAGAATCTAATAATTTTTAATTTAATTATAATAACTTGTAGGTACACCACGTAAGTATTAAATACTGCAAAGCTTTCGGTCCGTTAACCCGGACCTTCATCAGTGCAATTACTTGAATACACGTTTGCTTAATACAAGTTATTATAATTACTAAACACAATTAACACAATTAACACAATTAATAATTAATTAATACAAGTTATTATAATTAGTAATTATTATAATTACTAAATTATAATTATAATTATAATTATAATTAATATTATAATTATAATTATAATTATTATTACGTTTGTTTAATACAAGTTATTATAATTACTAAAGTCGCCATGCAATCATACAAGAAAATTAATTTTTAATTTGTTTCTAATTTTACACGAAACGAACATATAACTATCAAGGATTAAAATAACATTAAACTATAGCCTCAAAATCGCAACAGAGAACTAAGTAGGTTTACTTTGTCTAACCTAAACAGTAGATTAGGTTTTGAAATTCATCGCAAAATAAAACTCCCGCCTATTACGATCTTTGGGATAATCTTAAGCCCGCCGCACATGAGAGCTAGGGACCTTAAGATGCACCAAATCTACGGCGCGGACGTGACATGAAATCAGCCGGAATTGTTAGAAAACCAGTTTTAATTCGTTTTAAATACAGCTCTGACCTTGTTTACCAAAAGGAGTCTATAATTTTAGTATTACTTCACGTCCGCGTCGTAGATTTGGTGTAGCGTAAGGTCCCTAATAGCTGAGCTAAGGACCTCGTGACACTGTTAGCTCAGCAAGCAAGTAAGTTACTCTCGTGTGCGGATAGTTTTCATGAGGAATTCGCCTCGAGAGGTAGTTTCTTACGTGTGCAGATGGTTTTCGGGCTGCACTAACTGCCTCGCGTGGTCGTTAGCTCAGCTGATAGCTCTCGTGTGCGGCAGGCTTTAGCGTTCCTAAAATAGTCTTGGTGTTATTTTACATTCTAACTAGTTTAATTATATACCCTACATCTAGTTGACTGTTCTACGGTCTTCTTTTTTTAAATTTCAAGCTGCCCGTCATGTAGATTGCTTGACACAATTTAAAGTGGTGAAGTCGCCATTGGGGTCTTTTCAGTGCCTTCCTCCTCATGTAATCCCTCTTCTCTGGGCATCTAAAAAATGGATTAAGTACTTTTATATTTGTTCGAGCATTCCACTCAGAAATTCCAGTCCCCTAGCTATCGGACAGCATGCATAGTGGATCTAGGGTATAAGTCAGAATAAATTACCACTGCTCTAACTTGCAATCATATTGGTGTAAAAATATTCCTTCGAAATGAGTAACCAATGGTGTTGTTACTATGGTATTTTGAAATGGAAATTGTGCCGTGTTATTTATTTTGGGTTACGCTGAATCCGCTACTGCTATCGGCCTGGGGCCGGGTGCATGTACGAAGGCTGGAGAGCGCTATCCAACGAATAGTGATTTTTCAACCGTTGTGAAAATGTCGAAAACCAGTAAAAAACAGATTTAAATCTAAAAGTTAGAGCGTTTTAAAAATTACTATGCGGTAGATAGCACTATCAAACATTCGTACAACCGACCCATGATGTTTTGCGGTTTTATTTTTCTTAATTAAACTTTCCCATTCGGTAAAACGTACCTTTCTATTCAAAGTCAAGTGACAAACAACCAACATCAGTGCTGCCTGCAAGATGTTGAATATGGCAAAAAGATATCTAAACACATCTTTATTTTCATGGAACGCAAGTAGAGCAAACATCCATGTGAGAAAAAGAAGAATAAGGTGCACCGCAGCACCTTTCACAGAAAAGGTCGCGCTTTTATTTTTGCTATCATCTCTCGGACGGGTTATGCTCGAACCTCGGGAGAATGAAGCATGCCGCAACACCAGAAGAAAGATGACTAAGTTGATCTGAAAAAAACCAATAAAAAAAATAATTAACATTTATTCACAGCGAACGAAGGAAAAATTATGTTATGTGGACCCAAGACCTGTCGATATGTTTCCTGAGTTTTCGGTAAATAGGTTTTTTATTATACACCAATTGTTAAAGAAAAACCAAATTACAAGGTAAACAACGAAATATCTATTCATAAAAGACATCATTTCAAATGGATAAGCAGTCCAAAGGTCCACGTCCAGGTGCGCCGCACGTGATGAAAGTTGTTATTTCCCATGAGATAACACGTTATCTCACTCTGTCTCGCGTGATTCGCTCTCGACCAATGAAACGCTGCGAACACAAAACTTTGACAAGTGGTATATAATAAAGACATTTCTCAATATTTTGACGTAATAGCCTTCAGTAGAGCTTTTACGACAACTCTCCTAACAAAAGCCCTGCGGGAAGTTGTATATTTTAGACAGTAACTGAAACTTGATAACGGGCTATTCGAAAAAGCCTCCGTGCTGTCCCACTTTTTGATATTATATTTTATGTAGCACAAACAGTTTCCATAATTGATTCCTGTTTTCGTGTTTCATCGTTGCCCACACAAATGGATTGATAAATTTAAATATATAGGACGATGTTCATGCACTTTTTTGCGAGAACGTCTCTGTCAGTCCTACTCACCAGTATGATTGCACACAGAGTAACAATAAAAGTCCAAAATGGTGGACTTCCTTTACGGCACCAACATGCATATTCGGTTATGAAATCACCTTCGCCACTAATTGCTGCAGCCAATAACACCACAATGATTACTGGTATTCCTAAATGAGAATAGACCACGATATTTGAAAATCCATTGTATGAAAGTGCATGGGAAAGTACCAATAACATAGTACTTCAATTATACTCATATTGAGATTTGATTGAGACTACAAACTTACCCCAGCAAAAAGCGTAGAATGCCTTCAGATATTTCCCTCCCCAACCGGAAACAAAGTAGACATTTGTAAGTCGAAGGTAAATCATGATTCCTTCGCATAACATCAATCCAAAAAGAACCAAGACAAACAAATACAAAAATGTTGATGAAACTGTACAGAACGTCTATAAAAAAAGAAAAATTAAACCCAATGAGAAAACTTCAGCGGAATACAACCAACAGTGTTAGACAATTATTTTTAAAACTTTTTATCTTTGCTCATTTTCAATTGGACCCAATTTATTTTCAAACCAGGTTTTTCAAACGGTTTTTGCTTTTATTTTATTAAATCGTCAAGTAGTTTTATCAGACGGAGAAGAGTAGTATAATATCAGACTTAGAAAAATAGTATAATCTTTTAACCTTTTCTAAAAACACAGGTAAAACCTTTTGAAAAACATGTTTTTAAACACAAACACAACTCCTTCCATTTTCGACCTCACTTTGGTCATCTCATTTTGGGACATTCAGACGGTATACTGACGGTGTATATCTTGAATGACGTAACTATGATCGTACAGAAACATGTGTGATGTTACCTCATAACTTAGTGCAGATTCAGCGAGGATGCAAAAGAAATTTGCCATTGCAATCGCAGCGCAGAGATTCATGAAGAGTTTTGTTGGAACTATGGCCGTCTCGTCAAGTCGTCTCCACCAGAAATAGTGTGCGAGTATCGCAAGCAATACACAAACCAGTGAGATGCTACAGCCAACGATGGACATCGCATGGACACTCCTTCGTTCTTCTTCGCTTATCTTGAACAGAGAGATACAACTTGTAGAGATATAAAATTAAGCTAAGGCAAAAAGATATGCAGTGTGTCACGATTTTGATCCTCGTTATAATATATTCTGTAAAACTCGAGTTTAATGTAAGACAGCTTTTGCTTGGAAGAGCAACAAAACAATTGAATAATCACATTTACGTATTCATCGCATTCAATCCAATTCGAATGCTTAGAATGATTAAACAGTGGTTTTAAAACAAGAAGGTTTAGTGCAGGGGACATTTTTATAGGGATATACTGTACAGGTTTCTAAAAATTGTACCCTTTCAAATGCAGATTGGCTTCGAATGGAATTGAAACGTGACAACAAAATGTTCGCCCAGTATAAGATGAAAATCAGAGAGCAGGATTTTTAGATAGTCCGACAAATGACTTTTTTAAGCCACAAGATACGATTTTTCATGCAACTTTAACAACGTCTTAAAAAAATCTAACCTTTTCTTTTAAAATGTCGGTGTAAGCGAAAGCTGTTAGATGAAAACATTCACATGTAAACCGGGTGCTACTCGGCTTGGCTGTAACTCCTTGACATCCGTCTGTTTTCCATTTACTTTCACTTATTTCTGGCTTCCAGTACGCACATGACCTAAATTCGCCCTACACGAAAAAGTTTTTAGTCGTTATCAATTGCAAGTATGTATATATACCACAGCGATATGGATGCCATATTTCACAGTCTAATATAATCTATCCTTCACTAAATTCAATTGAAAAACATTTGAAACTATAGTTGGATGCCTTAACTGAGTAAGTTTCATAACTTTGGCGGTCATCAATTTGATGTCCGCCATTTGGATATATTTTTCATCTCATTAAAAATAGTTGTAATCACATAACGACGGGGATTCATAAAAAATATTTACAAAAACATTTGTTGTAAATGTTTTCAGCGTTTCGACTGAACATGATATTTTGAAGAAAGCAAGAATTAGTTTTAAAACGATTACATGCATAATTCAAACATTCAATTCGGTTAAACAGTAACAGACCTTTCCTGACTCGCTTGTTTCCCAGCTGATACGAACAGGTTCTTTAAAAGGCGTCTTCAGTGGTTGAGGTCGAACTGTTGCGCTGATGATTGTACTCTTTATACTACCTTCAGTATCACCTTCAGCATGCACCTTGTCCACCAGAAAGCTGCTTAATGTTTTATACCAAACGACTGCTACCACAGCACGAGAATCCTTCGGAAGTGCATCACGTGAAATATTGAAGGATGCGTTCGGAAAAGTGAAGAGTCCTTCTCCTTGTGCCAAGCGACTTTGATTCATGTATTTGACCCGCAATTGTACGTTTGATTGGGTACGGGACGTAGAGGACGAGGATGCATCGCTTTTTAAGATATTTCCTAGCTGGATTCCGTACGTTTGCAAAGTCATCACCAGTTCTCGGATTAATTTCCCGTCCTATAAGAAGGAAATGAAAAATGAGTGGGCGAGGAAGCACTGACCCTCCTGACTAACCCCTGAAATAAATGTAAAATGCACAGCCTGGTCCGGTTAAGGACATTTTTACGGGAACAAACATACCTTCATAGAGCTCCAAGAGATCGCATTTCTAGGATCCAATATATTGTTTGCAGGACGCAGAAGGTCAAAATTTTTATCCGAAATATTTAGAGAAACAAGTCTTTGAAGTATTTCTACGGCCTGCGGTAAATTTTGTTGATTCGTTCCGTTGGGTTCAACTCCAACAGAGTCAAGATTTGTGAGGCAGGCCAGATCGTTTATAATCTCTTGCGCACCTTTTTTTCGTTCTTCTTCTGATTTGTTTTCACGATGGAGCTCGTTTAGCTAAAAAGGAACGTTGATTATAGTTACAGTACTTACGAAGTCAGCTTACAAATTTCTATTTATCTTTTTTACTCTTTCAGACAACTGAGAGCAAATATAAAGGCTCTCCGCCATCTTGGATCTGTGAACTGTAATAAAACAATGAATAAAACCTAGAGCGATAACTACGCCGCCATCTTTGATGCCTAAAGTGAAGATAGTTTTTCCGAGTTTTCGAACGTTTGAGACTGGCTTAAAACCTAAATATCTGGGAATGTTTAGAAGTAAGTAAAATGCAATTACTTGCAGACTTTTAGAGAAAAATGTACAGGCAACAGAGTCGAAAACTCATTTTTTTTTCATGTTTCGGCATCAACGAAGTATAGGGGTAATCGATCCAGGTTTTATTACAACAGTTCACTGCGTCAAGTATGCATAATGTCAGAATTTATAAATTCAGTCTTGTATCGCGTATTTAAATCTCCGATCACGACATATAAGGCAACTGAGATACGGAATCCTAGTTTTCATTGTTAGCGTTCCCTGTTTCTTCAATCTCAAATTTTCGACAAAATATTCGCAACGTTATCTAAATTCCTGTTCTGTGTTGGTGTCCCCGATTAGTGAAAGATTTATTATTTTGCTAGATGACTTGACACTATAATAAAGTTATCAATTAATCAATCCTCTAAATAAAAAAGGTTAGTTAATTTAATTTTCTTGATAATTCTGAGAGATGACAGATCTATATGAACATCAAACACAGAGGTATGTGAAAAACGTGCACAATTAAAGAACAGATCTCTCTTGCCTTCTTAATCAGTCTGTCCATTTCGTCGTTTGATTTATTTCTCGCCGAGAAACAAACTTGACGAGATTCTAAAAATTATGTACGAGTTTATTAAACAAATGAAAGTATTCAAGGGGGTGCCACATGCTCGCCGTATAGCCTGTATCCTGATCGAGAATCATCTTTAAACAATTTTATCAAGATATCTCGTTGAGAAATTAACTGATTTAAAAGACATTTATCAAACAACTCACGTGTATTCTAGTTTAAATCTGCTAAAATTTTGCTACACGGTCTATACCTTTGCAATCTTTTCCATCTCCTGTAAATCCTTTATTACAAGAACAGGTGTATGATCCAATAGTGTTGTTGCAAGTTGCTTGAGAATGGCAGCTATGATTACCCGACGCACATTCATCTTCGTCTGACGTTTCCATAAATCACAACATTAATATACAGTACCCAAAAGATATAAATAGGCACGTACGTTTGTTATACCTCTGCAAATCCCGATTCCTGTAAACCCTTTATTGCAAGCACAGTCGAATGATCCAATTGTATTTCTGCAAGTGGTTTCCAAAGGGCAACTGTACATCATGTGAAGGTACGACGTACACTCATCAATGTCTAAGGTTGTCGTTTACAAAAAAACATAAAAATATGCAGTTCGCAGGAGGTAAATCGTCACGTACGCATACAAGCATACCTTCGCAAATTGTTCCATTTCCCATAAATCCTTCGTTACAATCGCAGGCGTACGATCCAATGTTATTTTTGCACGTGGCATTACTATGGCAACGATAAGTTTTCTGCTCACATTCATCTACGTCTAAAGTTGCAAGATGTTATCAGAAAATTGGTCATTTTACTTGGTTTTGAATCAGTGGCGTAGCCAGCATGGATAATTAGGGGGGGGGCAATATGTCCCCTCCCCCAATTATCGTTCTAGCTACGCTATATACTGTTTTGAACGCAGGTGTGTAATTATTATTGATTTCTTTAGAAATTAATTCTTGTAAGGTCGATGAACATCAAAATATTAGTATAGCGAGACAAACTCGTCAGTCTGGCTACGCCACTGCTTGGGTGTCGAGATATCCTCGTTCTTCAGAACTTGCCCATTTCATACTTATTTCAAGGTGTAATACACTTTTATACCTTTGCAATCAGTCCCATTTCCTGAAAATCCCGCATTACAAGTGCAGGTGTACGAATCATTGATATTGCTACACGAGGCATAAAGATGACATCCGTGGGTTCCCAACAAACATTTGTCGTCTTTTAACACTGAATTTAAAAAAAATTGAGAATTATTTAACATTCGTGAATCATTTATGGCTGGACTTCAAACTTCCAATGCCGCATATAGCTACGTGAATAAATTGGTTTAAATTTTACATAAATATAAATGACTGGAAAAATGCCTTGTTCAGGGGCCGCGAAAGATAGTTAAGTATGGGGGAAAATATTCATATATTCATATTGAAGTTTAGCGTTATTGGTTTTTTTTGAAATCGATTGTTTTTGCGGCCTACTAACATGAAAGTATGAATACATGCAACCCCCCCCCCCGTCAATGATATGCATGGGGGTATTGTTTTTGGTACGTTGGACATCTTCTTTCGATCACATTCTGCTACTAATAGTGTAAGGCTAGATTTCCCCTTCCAGAGAAATATTTGCCTATTTTTTTTGAATTGAGAACAGTCAAGTCAAGCTGACTTAATTTATTTCTGCTTTTAAAATAATAGAGAAAATATGGAGATATTTCGCTGGCGAACCATTCCTCTGCAAATGGAAATTCACCCGAATTCTGTGCGTAGCAGGTCGTTGCACGTGCCGCTTCCCTCACATACCCTCGTTAGACCGCCTAGGTACGGTTCTTAAAGGGCCCGTAATATAAAATCTATTACTATACCTCTGCAAAATGTTCCATTTCCTGTAAATCCTTTATTACACGAACAGGTGTATGACCCAATGGTGTTGTTGCACGAGGCTTGAGAATGACATCTATGGTGACCCAACGCACATTCATCTTCGTCTAATGCTACAGTTTTGAAACAGAAATGTCAATATTCGGTGCTTGGGGGGTAATATTCATGCACATTTGGTTAAAGATCACTGTACCTTTACAAATGCTATATTTGTGTTTCTTTTTCTACTGGGTTACACCCAATGAAGTTGACTCTGCTAACTTTTTGCTAGACGGTCTTACCTTTGCAATCTTTTCCATCCCACGTAAATCCTTCATTACAAGAACAGGTGTATGATCCAATAGTATTGTTGCACGTGGATTTAGAATGACAACTATGGTTACCCGACGCACATTCATCTTCGTCTAACGTTGGAGTTTCCGCGAAAAAAATATTATTCATTAGTACCGGACAGGTTAATAGTTCATGCATTCAATTGCTCGTTTATGTATGATTTACTTGTGATGTACTTTACCTTTACAGATGGTCCCATTTCCCAAAAAACCGTTTTTACACGTACAGGCGTATGAGCCAATAGTATTGTTGCATGTCGCATAAAAATGGCAACTATGGTTTTTCAACATGCATTCATCTTGGTCTAAAGATGTAGTTTTAAAACACGAATGTTAATATCAGTACCCTCGAGGTAAATATTCTTTGCTGTTTGCTGATATAGCTATAACAGTAGCTACCTTTACAAAAGGTTCCATTTCCTGTGAATCCTTTGTTACAAGTGCACGTGTATGAGCCAATAGCGTTGTTGCACCGTGCATTTAAATCACAAATGTGGGTCTCTAACACACATTCATCTTCGTCTATCATTGAAAAATACTTATAAAATACACATGTATACAAATACTCGGCAAAAATTAGAGGAAAATTACTTATAAAAATCATATTCAAAAAACAAATTCCGAAAAGACAAGACATCTTGAGCTAGAGTAACTGTATGCTTCAAACGAGTCATGACTGGACAGGCATGTGTCTTGTTTGAATCATAATTATATTGACCCTCAAGATGTCTTGTCTTTTCATACTTTGTTTACTTCTTTAAATTGTCGGGTGTTTATGGTTTTTGGTCTAAAAGCCGATACCTCGTGCATGTTTAAGCAAATGTTCGAGGCAAATTCAAAAAATTTTTATCTCCACGATATCTGAAAACATATCTAGTTTGTGCACTCCGACGATTTTTAAGCTAAATTTTAAGCCAGGTAAGGCATGTCTTTTAAAATGACTTAGTTTTCATCTGTCACTTTGACAAAACAAGTCGTCACCATTTAGTAATTATTGCGAATCAGTGGCCACAATTCTCGATAATCATCTCTGTAATTATACTAATTAACAATTATTCGCTGAAGCCTTGGGGTTATCACTTATCACGGAACCGACCTCGGATTTATAATAGCTAGCCAACTAGGAAAAATGTGTGAATAATATCGCTTTCTATATACAGTACCTGCACAGATGGTGCCATTTCCTGTAAATCCTTCGTTACAAGAACAGGTGTATGATCCAATTGTATTGTTGCACGTTGCTTGAGAATGACAAGCATGGTTACCCAACGCACATTCATCTTTGTCTAACATAGTAGATTTAAAAATAACCTTTTATATGCACTACAAAGCAGGTAAAAAAATGTATGATTTACTTACCTTCGCAGATTGTGGTATTTCCCGTGAATCCTTCGCCACATGTACAAACGTATGATCCAATAGTATTGTTGCACGAGTTTTGAGAAGGACATTGATGAGTCCCTAACGCACACTCATCCACGTCTTAGGTGGTAGTTTTCATAAAAAATCAACAAAGGATTAAGTATCCACCATTGAAGGTTTCAAAATTACCGATCCAGCTGAAGGTTTTAAAACTTACAAAAAGAATTCCAAAAGATAAGGCTATCAAAATATTCAAAATTTAAACTAAAGAGTGTAAAAACATCCTTTCTTGCTTTAATTGAAGTTAAGAATTTCTAACTAGCTTTATCAGTCTGGGATTTATGCTTGTGCTACGGTAGGATTTCCTATACCTTCGCAAATTTTTCCATTTCCTGAAAATCCTTTATTACAGACACAAACGTATGTTCCAATTGTATTCACACAAGTGACTTGAGGATGGCAAAAGTACATGTGAAGTTGCGACTGGCATTCATCAATGTCTAAGTTAGAATAATTTCCCAAAAATAAACAATATTAATGTCCAGTATCCGTTCACAGAAGGAAAGTAGTCATGGACGTTTACTATCAAGTAAGTATATAGCTACCTTCGCAAATTGTTCCATTTCCTGAGAATCCGTAATTACATATACATGTGTATGATCCAGTATCATTTCTGCACGTAGCTTGACTATGACAACTATTATTAGTTTTTAATGCACATTCATCCACGTCTAAGGTTGTAGGATTAAAATCAAATGTTAGATTTAGGCTTTGTTTATTTTATAAATTGTTTTCCATATCAGCAGGTAGTCACAAATATATAATGAAGGGTCGACCGCCTGGGCATAGACTCAAAATTCTTTATAGCAACATATAACTTGTTATATTGTAGAAAAATTCAGGGAATTATTTAACTACAAGGGATTATCATTTCCTATTTCGAGGGAATTATCACACCTTCCTTAATTGTACCCTTAAGGACAAGCGGTCTAGGAGATAGCCACCTAATGTCTATAAAAGTTTAACAATTTTGGAAGTTCCACAACAATTTTGTAGAGATCTATTACTGGCGTACTTCGCACCAAAATTGTCAGTGTGTTATTTTCTTCTGGCAAAAAGCAAAAGATCGAAAATAAAAAGCAGATGTATTTCAAATTTCCTCCCTTGACCGTCGGGCAGGTTGTTTAGTAATCTCTATTCCTATCATAAGTGGTAATGTTCAGGTCCAAGATGGCCGCGATACCTGTATACATGCGTCTATACACGCTATACACGGAAAGATCTTAAAGCCGGTTTTCCACTAGCGATAGTTTTCGCGCGAACCGATTTGTTCCAGATGGTTGCAGTTGAGAGCTCTCAAACAAAAGTAAAATGCCGATTCGCGCGGAAAATATCGCTAGTGGAAAACCGGCTTAACAGGCGCCCGTGCGGGCGAAGCGCGCTTTGTTTTTCAGGCCGTCTCGGTCGCATGGGCAAATTTTTAAAAACCGCTTCGCCCGCGCGGGTGAAGTGGACGGTAATGGAGAATCTCCTTTTAATACGCATCGAAACGCGCACGTGGTAAGCACCCCATAAGCGCACGTGGTAGACCTCGTAATCCGGATTTTCATTCAGAAAAAAATGTCACGAGATCAAGTTTTTGCGATTTCTTTTTATTTGAAATCCGTCAAGCGATACAAATCTCATTAGGTGAACAGAACATGTCCGCACGCATTTCAAAAGGAAGCGATCACGCAAGTTTGTGTACCGAATGAAAGTTCCCATTCACCAAAGGAATATTGAGAACATTTTACGATATCACGATAAACAACTGCAGCAGCTCTGAGCTGTTACACTGCCTTACACACGCTTTCCGCTAAAATACACATTGGCTAAATCACTTCTATTCTCGGTATATTTGACTTATCTGTCTTTTATATTGACATTTGGCGCCGAAATTTCAAGAACCGCCAAAATTCTTTAACCGTGCGGTATTATGCCAATCCTGACTTCAAAGTCAATGTCTTTTCGCATTTAAAATAGCGCTTGAAACGGTTTATACGTTTTATTCTCTTATTTGCGCATGCGGAAGTGTGGCATACCAGCATTACATTCCGTTAATTCATGTTTAACTTTTGCTTGACATCTATCAAACGAAGCGAAAAGTCAAAACACATACAGAACAAATGTGATTCGTCAGCATCGATAGATCTGAGTTGCTGACCATACATTTCTTTCGCCTTACCTTGTGCGTGAGTGTTATAAGCGGAATAGAAAAGCATGGCGATGGCAAATATCAAGAGTAATCGTCTCAGCGCAGTCATCTTTTGGTGTTGTTGCGTATCTTTGCCAGATGTTCGAGTTGTGTCATATATCAAATCACGACTTCTTTGCCCGTAGAATGACAAGAGTATTCCCAAAAATACTTGGCAGAAATACTGAAGGACCGCTACCAGAAAATAGCGCTTAAAATTATAGGTATACACAAAATATTCCAGTCGGCAGACAGTTATAAATAGCACTTGCAACGCAGCGCAGTGTGATAAGAGTATTGTACTCAAGTTACACACTAGGCTCTCGGGGGCATGGCAACCGTATGTATATACTTCTGGAATTTCTCCGTTTTAATTTCCCGTCTTTTTGTACCCTGTTATCTTTCGGCCGTCTGTATTTTACATTTTATCCTTCTGTCCTGAATATTGGTAATCTCTAACGCAGAGTTAACAAAAAAAAGTCGAGAAACAGCCTTGCTGTTTACAGCAACTGCCTTTAGTGTTGTCGATAAGCTAATGCTTGGAATGCTGTCTCGTGGTGATCAAATTTGACAAAAATCGCTATCGTCAATCCCGTGGGGCACAAAGATGGTATAGGCCGTTGGTCTGTCGGGTTTTCTTTGCAGAAATTCATTTGTACTTTCTCGATTATAGTGACATCCTTTCCGTTGTTGACGCATTAAAAATGCGGATCATGATAAACGTTTATGTTAAAGGCTTCTCAATGTTTGTTTTTAAAAATATAAACGCGTTATTATTAACACAGTGAGTATAAAGGCGTGTAAACTGGATGACGTGATGGGATTTTCCCTCTTGGAGTAATTCTGCTTAACATTTTAAGCTTTTATAGGTTGCATTGAAATAAATTGAAAAACTATTAGCTACGTTTTCACTCAGAACCATTAAATGATTTCAAATCCCCGCTCGATAACGCCAGTCGTTGAAACGCTAAAATATTGTTTATAATTTTTCTAACCCCGCTGCGCTTTGTCGTGTCTTTAGCTTTGAAATAAAGCGTCTATGAGATTTTTCGTATTTTTTTTACATAAATTGATAAACGTTAAAAAACGCGTATATATCATCAGTACAAACAAATCTCGGAAAAAAAGCCGCAAACTGACCCCTTTAGACCTTCTTTACTTCAGGGATCGAATTTCTGGGACTGTTCGTGTAAAGGTAGCGACATCAAGATCTGTCAAATGATTAGAGTCGCAACGTTCCAAGCATTCTTGATTCTAAGTATGATGCATGGTTTTCACGTGGCGGGGGTGGCGTCAAAGCTGTCATTTTCACATTCGGTTTGCAAATTTTAATACTAGCTACAAAAGGCTACAAAGTTATAAGTCAACAATATACTTGCTTTTTTTCCCATGCCTCAGCTGCAGTGGCGTGTGGCTAGAACGATGATTGGGGGGGGGGGTTATTATATTCAGTTCTGCTCGACGAATTTCTATTGTAAACTATTGAACTTAGACTGCGTTCACACGATACCGGATTCGTTCGTCACGACATCTTCGTTTGCCAATATAAAGCAACGATTATTAGCAAATACTTTTTAATTTGATAGATCAGTTGGTATATTTATTCAGATCTCGGACATTAAAGATCTCCACTGTTCTTTTATTAACTTTGCAATTTCATTTAATCTGTTCCGATGGCAATTCGGTACCGTGTGAACGGGGCCTTAGAAAAGAAATCCTTCGGGAACTGAATATACGAATGAACACGAGCCATTACCGCGTGGAAAATGACGATGCCAACAAAATTCAACTGTTTTACTTATAGGTTTGGTGTGTATGAATCACAGCAATATTTTTAGGTGTATATTTACATGCGTATACCAAAATAGCTAGTCGTTCTTATCTATCAGTTGAATCAATAATTAACTCTATAATTAGTTACCCTAAATACAAAAATTTGAATTTCAAATATGATTTCAAAGCCTACCGATGCTCACTTAGCAAATATACTTAAACTATATCATCAGGAAGAAATACAAAATATATATATTTCGGACTTTTCAGAGTAGACGACTATGATTTTAGAGGAACTAATTGGGAGTTGCGTTGCACTAGTAACGAGGGTAATGATTCACACACCATCGATATCTCGGGAAAATGTGCTACAGGAAAACTGGTCGATTCAAGAAGAAAATCATGAGGACGAGGAAGAATACGACGGTTTAATTCACCGTGAATACGAACAGCATGAAGCGAGCGAGGCTCCATATTATGAGGATGGATCGTTTGCAGGGTCCGAAGCTGGAAAAACAAAGGGACTGAAAGGAAGACTTTCTGTGAATCGCTTCGCCGAAGCTTTAAGGCAAACACCGGAATTCTAATGACAGTCGTTCTCCTGCTAAGCTCGCTAACAGTTGGACTAGTTTTCGTTGATTTGAATACATATGACACTTGCATTGAATGGATGAAACTAAATGTCACTGTTCCATCGCACGTACAGACTCTGCAAATTGTTGGAATGTCTTTGAGACTTATTCCGTTGTACGGCTTGTTCCCAACCTGTATTGCCATGCTGTGGGGATTCAGACAGTTCAAACAGCATTACTTATTTCGTCTACTTTTATGTGCGTTTGTGACAGGATCGTTAACTTGTGCGTATGAAATTATTATGTTCGATAAGTTTTTCCATGTTGATTACAACTTATACAGGTAAGTATAGCTGCATGTTCAATTCGATTGTGTAGCAAGCAGTTCACGTTTCAAGAGATATTCAGAACTGCTAACTTACATGCACAATAAAAAATGATGTCTACCTTACGACAAAAGAAAGCTAGTCAGCTTCGCTCATTTGTTGTTGCGTTTAACGAAGAAAATTTTGTTTCAAACTAATTGGAATATCTGTTACATTTTTTAAGCAAACTGAGCGAATCAGAATGCCGTAATTTTAATACTTCGTGTGAAATGGTAAATAATGTGCCTTCTTACCGGATATAGTCAAAATTTATGCATTTTGATTGCCGTGTGATTGGGTTGCTGAAAATGTAAACAAACTTCATCATTGGAAGTTAAACAAACTTCCGAAATTCCTTCTTGTTCGTATAACATCGACATAGTGGTTTGGATTTTGTACGGATTTCACAAAACTCTATGATTTGGCTTAAAAAAAATTGAGGGTGCACAAAATAATGAAGTAGGGTTCAATTTCCTTAAATCATTAATCAAAGTAAATCATTAATCAAGTCAATCATTAATTAGGAACAGAAATTTTATTCCATATAATTTCCTATAGGGATTGTGCGAGAGGTATTAAAACGGAAACACGAAAATTGTCAAATTAATGGCGGCAAATTTGAATGTAAAAGGCCCAAGTTTTTTATACACCCCGTGAAGGGTGAACATATGAAAAGAATATCTGCTTATGTTTTACAACACATTGGTTCATGGAATTTGAGATCGATTGTAATCGCATTCTAGCGGCCTAATTGTTAAAATCCGATATGCATACCAAAGGCTAATAGTATTTGCGATTTGACCGTGTTCATGAATTACGATGTAATACAATACAAAAACTCTCGTTTTTTTTTAGACTACCTTTCGCCATCCTGTTCATATCTTCTATTATCTGCGAAGCGTACTTGGTTGCCAGTAAATTCAAACGAGTCAACGTCTCAACATCGTATAGCGTGTTCCACATTTCTATAACGGTTTCCTATATTTTTCTTGCGTCAACCCTTTTTGCCTACCTATACAATTTTCTCATCATAAATCATTTCATAGAAACTAAAGGAAAACTCAAAAAGGCCACAGTTGCTACACTCACGCCAGGAATTATCCTCCCGCTGACAGCGATTGTAAAATATATCGTTCTCAGGAAAAGCACAGAGATCATAGCGCCGGATCGAGCATTCGTGCTGTGCTACATCTCCCGCGGTGCCTCCATCATACTATACCGCACTATGCAATCTGGATTTCACAATATCTGGCTTTACGTTAGTTTGTCGTTGCTTCACGGAGTATCGAATGTTTTGAGTAAGGCAACGCTGAACTTTCGAATAAGACTTTGGAAAGTTTTTGTTACGTTCTTTAATAGAACATGTTGTAGGCCAAGGTTAACAGTGCAAGCTTTAAATTCTCCTCGAATTCGCCGATTGAATGCTGACCTTGAAACTCAGAATATATTATTTGAGTACAATACGATAATCTTAAGCCAGGCGTTATTAACCTGTCACCTAATAATGAACTACGACGTGTCAGCTTGGGATGTCATCAAGGAATCTCTGATCAGGGTAGCCATTAGTTTGACAATAGACTTTGTGTTTAACATAATATCCATGCTAATTCAAATCCACGTTTATGACATACCAATGCAAATGATCTGGGCGATACACTGGAGACGCCACGTTCTCGCTAATGCCTTCATGATAATCGTTTTCGTATCACATTTTAGTGCAATACTTATCAAGGTTTTTGCCGACAGAAATGATACGTTAAGGCTTAGAAATTGCACGACAGTATTTTAGTGGACCTGCCAAACACGTCCAATATATTCGCATACAAAACACTCCGTAAATTTTGTTTTGAATATATTTTTTTTTTTTAGGGCAGTGGCGTACGAGACACGATAATTGAAAAGAGATTAATCTTGCACAACATCAATATATGAATATGTGCACACCCCCCCCGCCAATCATCGTGTCTCGTACGCGACTGTTTTAGGACCAGCGTCCGAATAGCGCTATCCACCTCCACCGGATAGTGCTTTCTTTAATCGCTTTAAAATCGCCCGTTGTTGGGAATAACTTTGATTTAATCTTTGTACTCCTAAATTGAGGAACCTTTTTCATAATTATGGTCCAAAGTTCAAATTTTATTGCTTTTCAATCATTTTTAGAACGGTTAAAAAAATCACTATCCGGTGGAGATAGCGCTAACCAGCCTTCGTACAACCGGCCCCTTAAATTCATATTTTGGTTCACGTTTATATATACAATACAGGTGGTTTTGTTTAGCAATGGTAAGCCCTTTGGTAATTTGTATAATGGCCGAAATCATGTCACGTCACTGCTTCTTTTGCTGTCGTAGTTACTTGCATCGCCATCGGAGTCAAAATTATCCGAATAACTTGACTTCGATAAAACTTCATCAACATTAGAGTCTAAATTTTCGGAAAAAGTTGCATTCAAAACCTTGCCAATTGGCTGATTGATAGGCCTAGACTTTCAAGGGATAATCTACTGCACAATGAGGATCTACCAGGCGATTCTTTGCTGGATCCTTCATCGTTACTAGGAACATTACCACCTGGCTTATTCACTGAAGCGAGACTCCCATCTGATATTCTTCTGCCTGATGAACCAGATTCCTTAGTGGATCCTTCAGGGTTTACGTAAATTTGACCGCCCGGCCCATCACCCATATTTAGACTTTTTTCTGAAAATCCACCGTCAGAGGAAAGAGCCCTTTCTTGTAATCCATTATCATACCTTTCCTTGTAAGTGTATTTTCTGTTTGTTGCTATGGACACCAAATCTGATACATTTGGAACCTTACCACGGTCTTCGTCACTGAATAATTTATAAGCGTCTTCAATTTGATTTGATGTGGGAGTAGCACTTGCATCGCGAATTGCATCGTACTTGTACGTAGCACCTAAACACCGATGAAATACGGGGTATAAGTATATTGGGTTTTTGCTTCAGATGCCAAATACATTCCGGGCTGGTTTGATATACCTGGAAATTAGTCCCACACAAAACGAATACACAGTTATAATTAGGGTCATGTTCACCTGTTGTCCAACCAGGTTTTAACTCCCCTCCCTAAATCCAGCAGATGTTCATATCTGCAGGGGGGTGGTTTAAATCCGCTGTGACACAGGTATCATGCTCAAATTTGTGTGATATCTGTGTGACCAGTTAAGGTCATTTATATATGTATAGTTCTATTAATGGTTTATGTAATTATGTAAATATATCCACAGTTATTCATGTCCCAGTGCAAAAGCTATATCGACTTCGATATTCAATATTCCCCACAACCAAACCCCACATATCCATTTCACAAAATATCCATTTCGCTGAATACTTAGTTAAATGGGTAGAGTGTAGAGTGGAACTCTTGAAATGCAAGAATGCAGGTTAGAACAAAATAAAAATAGAAAAAAATGGTTGCTAGAGGTTTGGCTACACTATAATTGGACAAAAAGCAATGGTTTCTAGGGATTTGTCTACATTATTATTGGACAAAAATACTATACAAATAATACATACCTAGGCCAATATCATTACTTACACCATTATCAATACCATCAAATAACATGCCTTTGCTAAGACATTTTTGTTCTGTACTAGAAAAATTATCATCACTCATTTTAACTTGTATACCAAAATCCTGATATTCCAATTCACTTTTCTGCATCATTGTTGGATTATTTTCTCTTGATATCTGCTCAGCTTTCTGTTCAAAATGCTTGGCATATGAGTCATTTTCATCTTGTTTTGAACCATGTTCTGGCAACAATTTTCCAGCAGCAACATTTGGTTCCCCTATTTCCTTTTCAACCAGTTTAAAATTTTTCTTATTCATAGCTTCTCTTAATTTCTGAGTCCTAGTTGTCCCATATTTCAGTGAACTTTTTTTAAACTTTACAGGATGTCTGGAGATCAAAACACCTTTTTTAATGGGCATAACTGGTTTAGACACAATGGCACCCTTTCTGAATACTGGGTGTGATGGTTTCTCTTTCCTGCCAGATTTCTGTGTCTTTGGAATTTTTTGATCTTGTGGATAGTTTAGGATGACATGATCTTTCTCGTGAATCCTGACTTGTTTACTTTTATTAGGTGGTGTGCATTGTTCATGATTTTGTTCAGGTAAACTATCATTTACATATTTGGTCCTAACTAAGGATAGTTCATCAAGCAATGCCTCAATCAGAGGCAGGCTTAATTTTTTATCATGTGAACACTGAGTTGAAGCATTACCTTGATGGCTTTCAGATGTTTGTACGGATGCATCAATATATCCTGGCCTGAAATGCATTTCATCTTTAGGATGTTTTACTAATTTTCCTGATGATGTAGGCACTACTCTGGCCGCTGTAGATTCATCACTGGGGTTTTTAATCTGTCTTTCTGAGGACTTTAAGACTACTGGCAGTTTGGTGAATGCTGAAATGCTGTTGTAGTATAATGGTGGTGGTCTTGTAATATTATGATGTTGAATACTTAATAACTCTGGGGTGTTCAATTTTTCATGTAGTTTCATATTTTGCCCTATACTTATGTTAGTTTGAGTATCAGCATCAGCTAGCATAATGTGAGTGTGTTGTACTATGTTGGGTTGAACTGGAATCTCGTTGTCACTTGCAATGTGCTCATTTTGCTCAGGTGATGCCCTTATATCACCAATATTAGTAGCTTCCTCAGAGAGTGTCTGAGGTTCAGTTGGAATACTTTCTTTCTTCTTTCGCTTAATTTGCTTCGAAAGCGATTGCTTCACATGCCCGGTAATACCGACGCCAAAACTAAACATTCTGAAAGCTAGCTTTACCGTAGCAACACAAGAGCCCATTAAATTGTACATCTCGTATTCTCCCTTGTCTCCTGAAACAGCAGGCATGTCAAATCCATTATTTTCAGTATTTGCGCGTATGTTTTGAAAGGAACTTACCAAGGAGATAGTTGTACTCGCCAGAAGTTTGGTATTCGTGAAGGAGGCGTCCACCAGCATGATGTACAAAGGTGTATCTCGCAGTCTATCTCGGAGAATATCTGCACTCATTTTGAAAAGGCACGACTTTCCCGATTGAATTTCATACGATAGCTCGTTTGCATGGAATTCGCGTTCCGAACGTATAACAACTGTTGGGAAATCAAGTAGGCGAAAAGCTACAGCTGGCTTACGACAGGAAACATAAATATTATCAAGATTTTCGACGATAACTTCGAGGGAAAACAAACTTTCATCATCAGCCATTTTGAAATAGTTCGCGCGAAAATTTGGCGGGAAATACGAACGGTACACTGGCCTGTATGCATAAACTGGAGGTAGGCATCTAAATGCCCGTTGCAATTCTTTTAATGGACCTTTTTCATAATGACGTCAAACGCGGAAAGTCTGATGTTACACGAAGTTTGATTGGCTCGACAGTTTTGTGGAGCCAATTAAATTTCGTGTAACATCAGACTTCCCGCGTTTGACGTCATTATAAGAAAGGTCTATTGAAAGGGCATATATGCCCCTTTCTCCTCTAGGGTATAATTTCGATTTTCGATGCCACTTAGAGACACCACTTTTAGATATAATGTCTACAACAGCAATTCAAAGACTTGAGCAGAGCTGTTTTAAAATATAGATGTACTTTATAAAATCACATACAACAGTTCATGACTACAATCAGCATTATATCGAAAAATATTTAACAATTTTACAAAGCTCGAGTCGTGCTGCATTGATTCCATAATTTTTGTGTGACCGAATTGTATAATTGATATAAATATCGTCTCCACTATGCTATAAACGCTTTACGTGCTATATAGCTTAATGTAATAGACTTTTCGCATAATGACGTCAAACGTGGGATGCAAATGTGACACGAAGTTTGATTGCCTTCGCAGAACCGTGACAAAACTAACAGGCGAATCAAACTTTGTGTGATATCAGACTTTCCGTGTAACGTCATTATAGGAAAGGTATATTTTTCAGCACTAAAACCATATCATTTTTAGCTTATAACCAATTACAGCTGAGCCACCTCCCATATCATACTATAAATACTTTTTTATATTTGACAATGAATGATCATCCCACTACGTATTTGGCATGGGCCACAATGATTATTTCGCTACTGGAAAATTTCACTCATGACTGTTGCAGTGCCCTCCAACGAAGTTATATCACTTGCACTAACAGATCTCTTAGAACTACCGCTTTTATCAAATCTTTTCTCCTCCAAAGAGGACAATTCGAGATCAGATACACAGTGTTTAAGTTTTCGGGAAACAGATGGCATTGTTTCTTGCAAATATGTTCCCAGCCTACGTATTCGTGGCAATTTAAAATATTCCCAGCTCTTCGCAAAGCAAAAGTTGTCCCAAACTGAGCTCACATCTTGATGTAGTAGGGGTTCAGTTCTATCTGACGGCACGGGCCCATTTTCGGTAAATTTAGTAGCATTTTGTTTTAACCTATTCTTTTGTGAATTACTAGTCGCTTTCTTATTTACTATTTTTAATGATGTTGTCTTGCTCGATTCTCCTTCTTTTTTCGCCTTATTTACGAAATCTGTTCTTCGACGTTTTCTAACGTGGGTTATCCTAGTTGGTGAACTTTTCCTAGCCATTTGAATATCACTAAATGACAAGCTACCAGTTGTAGGATCCCTTACGGAGGCATCTGTTATATTGCTAATTGCTTCTTCCTCCATACTCGCAACGTCTTCAATGGTGTTAAACTCGGATTCATCGAATCCATCATCGATATTTTCGCCGATAATATTCACTTTCTTTACCCGTCTTTGAACTGTCTGAGATATTTTCGGTTGTTTCCTATGCAACCTTAATTTTACACGTGCCACGCGAGTGAAACGGTGCCTTTTAATTTCACTCGATGTCGACGGTACATTCTCCGGTACACCCATTTCTTCTTGCACCAGTTGTGATGGTCCTCTGGGATTCAAACAGACCGCCTCAACATTTGAGACTGGAGTGCCGCTAACAACTGACGGTTCAGCATTGGAAACTGGAGTGGTTGTGACTGTTGTGACTGCTGTTGAAGTACGTACGGTATTCAATTGTGAGGTGCTCGCGGGATTTTGGCATTGCACATTGTTAACATGTCGACGTTGTGCAACACTACTTGTAGTTGCTGAGGGTTGAGTTGTACTGGGCATAAATTGATTGATGCAAGCCGAGTAAAGCAGGGTAACAGTTATGAAATTTCCCAGAATGCCAAGAAAAGAAAACAATATTGGCCAGTTGAAAAAAAGATATCTGGTAAACGAGAAAAATGGTTATCAGCACATGGCGCGTTGTTATTTACAGCCTATTATGTTTAGTGCCTAGCCAAGGTGTAGTGGGCGTTGTCAAGGCGCATGCGCCAAAAAAATTGGAAATAAGCGTTTTGCAAACGCGTTGGGGGGAGGGGAATGTTTCTTAAATTTGAATACATGCACACGAAATATTAAGCTACAACAAACTTTTCGAGCGGCATGTTTAATCTAGTATCACATTATCCCCAAAAGTACTCAGTCGCCCGCTCCTCCCATTTAAAGGCTAGGCCTTATTTTAAAACTGTTCCGGAACACAATTTTCTAAGATTTTCATGCAGTGTGTACCTGAGCCCTGTAAATGAAGCTTGAATACGAAGCGTTGACGAGTAGATTTCAACTTGCTTCGTCATAATCACAACCTTGGCTTGAACTACGGGATTGTACTGAAATGAAAAAGCGTGTAAATACACACGATTAAAGTAATCAAACGTTGTTGAAACATCTTCAGGCTTGAAGGTTGGAATCACTTTCAATTACTTTAAAATTCTTCCATGCCCCAAAATGTTTGGATTCAGAATTTTCAGAACATTAAATATTCACTTTGAGAATTACGGCTTCAGTTATGGATACTGAAGCTCCGCTTACACTACACTCAATTTTTCGACACGGGGCTTAAATTTACTATTCGGTAACATTGAAGTACCTGCAGTACCTGCAATTACTGATAGTTACTATATTCGACTATATTAGAACTATCCCAACAAGCTCAACGTAATTATTCAACTGACCGAATCATCGATGTAGTCATCAAAGAATTTAATCTCCACTTTCTGTTTTTCCTCACTGATTCCAAGTGTGAGAGGAAGAGAGTAAAATATTGTTCGGAACAATCGGACAAGACTGGACTCATAATGCAGCATGCACTGAAACATAAAGAATGATGTTTGTGAACAGAAATATCAAAGAAAAAACACAAAAGGGAAACAGATGGGATAGGAAGGAGAACCAAGATACGCCTATTCAAGACCTTAGTTCGACCGGTCGTGCTATATGGCTGTGAAAAGTGGAAGATCACAAAGGCAGACGAACGAAGACTGAACAGTTTCAAATGCCCATGTCTGAGACGGATACTGAGGATTACATGGCAGCAAAGAATATTAAACAACAGAGTAGTGGAGATGGCAGATATCAACAACATAATTTGTGTGATACGACGGAGAAGGTGAAACTGTTTAGGACATGTACATTGGAAAGAGGACGAGAATGATTGCTTTACAACATTAGTGTGGAAATCAGAGTGACGAAGGGCAAAGGGAAGACCGAAGACTTCATGGAGAAGGACAAGTCAGTTGAGAAGGAAAGAGAGCAAGCAGGATGGAAAAGCTGGAATGTGGCACGCACAGAGAGCATTGGTCACGGCCACGAACAGAGAGCATTGGCAAAGTAGCGTGACGGCCTTATGCGCCTACTGCCGCGATGAGACAAGATGAGATGAAATGCGGAAATGGATAAGAATTAAGAAAACTGTTCCATGTAATTTGTCCATAAGTGTGGAAAGAAAAAATGCACTTACTGAACGAGAGGAGCTTTTCAAGACCGTCCCTTTGGAAGATAAAAATTTTACGTTTACCATGAACATACCTTGAAATAAAAAGAAAATATACAATAGTAGCCGAATTAGTTCACTGGAATAAGCAATTCGGCAGTGTGAATGGCTTGCGAAAATCTTTAATTGCAACCAATCCCGAATATTTGTTCTCACGTCGCATCCTATTTGGCATGTGGTTGGATCGCGTGGACAAGTTTAACTAGTGGAAAATCATAAGTTTAGAAACGCAAATGCCTTTCAAAGACTCTATACTAGCCTCTTTTTTAAACTATACGGCTGAGACGCTGAGCTTTCCTTTGGCTTCACGGTATAAATTTGTCTAACTAGTATATGCAAAAATCTTAGTTCCAGATGAAATTCTGTTTCTTTTATTGCATTAATAGGAAGATTGAGTGATGATTGAGCAGAAATTTTCAGTGACTTACCCAATTTTTCGTTCGTAGGTGATGGGGGCATTTCAAGATCTAGGAAAACTTTATATGCTTGTCCACGCATTAACATCTAAAAAAGAATTCATCAAAAACCGATGTTTAAACACATTCGCTAAGTCTCTCGTTATTTAAGGATACATATATAGAAGGCAGTAAGCCGAAAGGATTACTCAAACTCTGAGTGTAATTGTCGATATCAAAAACAAAGATGTCACTTGAATTTTTAATTATGTTTACAAATGTTGCATGCAAATTAGTCTTATGCTTGAATATAGACCAACATACATACAATCTTTGAAGCAAAAACTAAAGGTTTTTCTTTCGTTTTAAATCATAAACATAGCTGCTGAACCGATCAAATACGGTGCTAAAATGGTCCTAATTTCTGGCGGGAAATGGGTTTGAGTTTCAAACAAAATTTGTCCACGAAATCTGGCAATTCACTTGTCGTGCAGGAACTTGAATTAAACCGTGTGCTTATAAACCGTCTAGCTATTTATCAAAAACTTAAGCTGTCAAAGTGTAAGTCATATAAACTACAAGCAAATGATGATTGTCATGAAACTAACCCTTTCTTCATTCGCTTTGCTGGACGAAGTGAAAAATACATTTGCTTCGGGATATGTACACAAAGCCGTCGATTCCTCTTGCCCTTGGCAGTCCGAGCTACACAAACAATAGTTCACGGGAAAAAATCAGCACTCGGAATATTGTAAATGGATAAATCAGTTTCGTTGTTGTTTCCCTACCTGAATTGAAGATATACGGGTTTCACATGAGACATTACGGGCATATAGGCTTGGTAGAACGTGGCGAACATTAAAATAGCGATAAATAACAGTACAAGACCGGTTAAAAACGACGAGATGACACGATAAAATACATATTTGAACAACATCATAGCCACGGAAAAAATAGACTTCATTATAGTAAAAAAAGTTGACATTTTGTTCTCTGTTTTTATCAAATTTTTGCCTTTCTTGTTCAGCAATTCAACTTGTCATCGGCTTGTCATCGTTTGTCAATCGTCGCGTCCCGGTAAACACTGATCTTAGAAGGTTATAGGGACTACTGGATTAATTAAAGTTTATTAATTGGCATTCAAGATGTTACTTTTGGCGCGAAAATATCTTATTCTTAGCCGTAGACTTCTTTATTAAGCTTAATCCTTTGCCAATGAGTTGGCAAGTCAGTGATTCTGCAAGCTATATCACTTAAGCATTTCACATCGATCATTCTGCCATCTGGAAACTCGTTACGTGATTGCATCTGCAAGAAAATCGGCAATCAAATCTTTACCTAAACCAACGCATATAATAACTTTGTAAATCAATGCATTATAAGCTCGGCATATCCTCTGCTAAGATGTTGTTCCCGACGAAGAGCTCTTATATCAGACATTATACGAAGATCAGTGTTACCGTGAAATGAAAGTGGGCATAGCCGTGTTTTGTATTGCAAAATGTCACATAGCCACCTGTCTACGCAAGTAATATGTATGATTGGCAATCTTGATTAAAATAGTATATTGTTAAGAAGTTGTTGACTTAAGATATATTATTGGATATTCATGAACACGAAACTAACGCGATGAACAATAAATCGAGGACGACAAAGTGTTGGAAAATATTGAATTACAGAAACTGTTAAAACCTCATTGATTTCGAATCGGTGCACTTGTTCCATAAATTAGGCCATTTTGCGAGCATGGAGACCATGCCCGGTAACAATCATTAGTTATGCAAAGCATATCTCTTCTCATACCTAATTTACCCTACGTTTCGTCAAGTGAGGCCGACCAAGACTACACATGATATGTTATGTTAAAATTGATCAACAGCGGCATGTATTGTGAATTTTATTGCAAACAAAAACATCAATTTTCCCATTATATTCGATGACTATATTTGAAGAAAGCTTTCGTGTCTTGTAGGCAGGTAGCGAGTTCGTGCGTTCTAAGGCAAAATTAGAAAAAAAGCCAATGCCGTGCAGAGGCCCTCTGTAATTTTCAAAGCAAAAAAGTTTAAACTTATACATATGTATTATTGTTACTTTCGAAGTTCGGTCATTGGTGAACATCAAAACGGAAGATAGTCGAATGTCATGTAAGAAAGATGTATGCCACGCGCTATATGCCAATATGGCCTCATAAAAAAGGCAAGCAACTTAAAGGGATATAGGCACCGGAGGTGATAAACTGCCTAATATCATGATCGTTACTTGACTTCACTTCGGCGTAGCTGATCTTGTCGGGGACAATAATGGTAATGATGTGCAAAAGACGACACGAATTTTGCATTGTTATATATATAGTTTCTTGACGTGGCTTGTGATTAGTATTTCGAATGAAATGATTTAGCGGGATAAGGTATCTAAGGAACAGGTCAATGTTTACATGGCTAACAACAAGATAAATATACTAGATAATCCATCGTTGACCAATCCTTTTATTTAATCACAAAATTTTCCCCGTACATTGATGACTTTTGAAGTGCTTTCTTAACGCTATTGGACTTGTAAAACTGCGGAGGAAAAAAATGAAAAATTGCCCGCGTCAATGCTGGCGACGATAATTTAAAATAATGCTTGTTGTCAACAGGGGGCTGGCTTGATTAAAAAGTCATTTGAATAAAGCGATTTTATAGTCCAATTGTGGAAAACCAATATTCTCATATCACGCCATCAGCTGAGCAGCTGAGGGCTGCGGCAAACATAATGAAAGCCCGCTCGAATAGTTCGGTCAGCTTCAAGTTGCTCTGTTCTTAATTGATTTCCTGCCTGAGAAATATGGGGTTTACCTTCGAACCTGAATGAAAAAACGCTCGTTTGCCATCAGCAGGCATTTGATATAAAAATTAGCGTCGACTGGTAGCACCTCACGCGATATGTTCACGAGGATCCCGACATTTATCCCATCCGAAGGCTTGGAAGCCGTAAATGAACAGCCAATTCCTAGGAAAGAAGCGAAGAAGGCGACTTACGGCGTTAGCCAAGCACGTAGAAAGCGAACGAAAGCGATAAGAAAGAGAGTTGGGGTGAAAAAATCGGACGCTGATCATTGTGAAGAATTACCCGTAATATCAGGCCGGGATAGCAGAGCTCATACGTTACAAACACCAACGCGATTTAGCAAGTTAAGGAGTAGCAAACTTTTCGAAAGTCGTACACCCGCTCCGTATAGCCCACCATTTCAAAGTAAGGAAGTAATCTGCGAACTTAACCGAAGGGCGCATAAAACGTCGGAACAGTCTAGTCCAATGACAGCTGGAGTTGTTTCAAGTAGCGGAACGGAGTTGTCCGAAGAAAGAGAACTATTGACATACCCTACAGTACACACAAGATCTAGAAGGAAACTAACAGACGATACGCATGACACACGGGTCAAAAAGCAAGCAAAGCAATTGCTTTATCACCAAGAGGAAGCAGCGAGGATGGATTGTTCATCAAGACCACTGGATCATTCGCCGTTTAGCAAGGGGGAAGGAACTTCGGGTACCGAATCGAAGACGCCTTTGCTTATTGAGAATCACTCGCATTTCAAAGGTCCAAGGCAGACTCCTCATGAAAATGACGTGTTTAAAAGTTTCAAATCGAAGATCCCTGTACGCTTTCCTGATATACAGGAGAACAAAGGCCTTCACGAAAGCAGGGTAAAATACAGTCCAAATAAGCAAAGTACAACACTTCCGCCGATATTGAACCTGAATAGCAGTAAGGGCTCGCCTGATCAACCCGGACATGTGACGCAAGCAACGCTGTTCGATTATCAGAATATTGTTGAGCAGGACTTTAAACGGCTCGGAGAGAATTTGGAAAACACTTTTAGGCTATTACAGCAGTATATCAAGTGCAATACAAACACAAATACATTAGCATAAAGAGGTGTTAAACAGGCGGCCTAACTTATAAACCGTTTAATAAAAGTATGGTTTCTCATTAGGCAAGTAAGATGTATTTGTTAGGGAGGGATTTAAGCCGTAAATAAAGAATGTTTATCCTTTATTTTGACTTCTACGAGCCAGCATATTTGCAACAATCAAAATACGGAAACGCCATGAGATTATTTGCGAGAAGTATTTATTATGTCGCTTGGGCAACAGATCGGAAAGTTGCATATAGAATTTAGCTGTCTTGATGGGTGCAAAAGTCTTAAAAATACGGATGTCGTTAAAAACTTATTATTCGGCTAATAAATTTAAAATGGAGAAACGCTTGAGCAAAGGGAATTCAATAACTTTTCATAATACTGCAGACAATGAACGCCAAACGTTGCAAATTATTTATAAGTCTAACACAGCATGACCCCAAAGGATTCATGCAATATAAAAATTAAAAACAAGAAAAAGCCGTCTCCATGCATGAAAGGCTCTTCTTGTGAGATGTTTCTTCCCTCAAAATGATCTTACTGCATTTTCTTCCAAGGGCAATGACAATAGCTAAGTGCAATAACGCTATGTTGGGTCAGTATAAGAAACTTTGTCGACAGAAGTCAACACACAAATCTTTTGAGTTTTGACACGTGTTTTTATTATTCATAGTTTACTTTCCGCGAAATATGTAAACATACGCTGCAATGTCACTCCCCTTTTACGGTTATACACTATATATGAGAGAGAAATGATCGTCTACTAATTTAGTTCATGCAAATGAATCTTTAAACGGCATATATATTATTCAATTCGCACGTGCGAATTTTCACAATTCATCTTACTACGGTCTACAGAAATAAATAATTATAAGTGGTTTTCAACCATGCAACGTGTTACTGTTATCGACAGGTCGACCTGTAAATTATGAAAGCCGCTGGTATCAAGTCATATAAAAAGAATAAATCCATTTCAGGAAGATCTCTAAAAAACATCATCCACTATTTAAAACAATTGGAGCTTTCATATACTATGGGAACTATTCCAGCTGCATGTAAATATTTGTATTCGTTGCATGCACGATAAAATATGAAAAACAAAAGCCTTGTAGAATTTAAAATGAAAAACCAGTTGGATATCGCAGTCTGTTTTCTTAAATAAATTGAAGGTATATGTTTACAGGAGCTTAATATTACACATAACCAAAGCCACGTAATTAAACAACGCATGACAAGTGTCAAATGTTACTTTGATTGGAATGACTGAAACTCTTCCTTGGATGGATATTACTCTGATCATATCTTATCATCGCAAAACTTAAGTTTAGAACATACAAGAAATAGGCCAATGGGATATAGCCGGTTCGTTGTTTTGAATATTCGGAGTTGAATACATCACTGAGCTATATAATACTGCTGGAGTGATACTGACGCAAATACAACTTTTAGCAGACACTCAAAAACGTATATCTAGTAACTGATAGAAATATATATATAGCATTATCAACATTCCACCAGAGACTAACGCACTGAGAAAGTTACGATTGTACGAGACTCCAATAAAAACATTAAGATTCCTTAATCTTTGGTCTTGTTTAAAAGTAATAATAGCATGCTGGACTTTTGCTGTCATGTAATTATTTGATAAGAAGTTCCATAATTCATTTGAGACAGAAGACTTTACTAAACAAAATATGTAAATCATGTAGCTATAACCTTTTCAGATCTCCTAACGCGAGCGAGCTTAAATAATAAATGAAAATTAAAGCCCACTACACCGGCTAGTTCTACAAAAAAAGAAAATTACTTCCCACAAGTATTAACAACATACGCCACTGTGCATTTGACACAAACATTGCATTATATTCCAGGTTAATTCACGCTATGCCACAGCTATGCCAATCACGCTAAAGGCAGCATGATTTCCCACGCGAAATCTAAGGAGAGATCAGTTTTCCCGCTCAAATATGTTCAATGAATACGACAAAGGGGACGAATATTATCATGTCAGCGTTTGTTAGCCGGTTTTTTCAGACAGTGAAATATTTAAGAAATCAAGATGCTAGCCAAATGTGTTTGCCTTTCAGAATAACAAATTATAGGTTTAGACTTTTGACCCAAATTTACAATTTCACAATTTACATATACTTCATGTTATTCAATTATAAATATTTTCATAAATACTATTATGTCACATCTTTGTCATTTTCAGACTTTTCGAGAATGTTTAGGCTGAACGATCCAGGCTAAAACGTTTGCTCATATTAAAACCTTTTGGAAGGGCCCTATTGATTACTAATTATACGAATTTATTTTTATTTTTCTTTCTGTGATTCCAAAGAAAAATAATTCCCGAGATAAACAAGCCCACAAAATGCCCCACCATTGCACCAACAGCACAGGGTATTGGCCAAACCTAAAAAAAATTATTCTTGAAAAGTGGCTATGATGTCTTATGACACAACATCGTCTTCACATACAAAATGCCTGAATTTGACAGAAATGTTCAAGTATGACCCTTACTTGCCAGTCACGATCCCAGTCCAATGGTAGGGTGAAGGCTCCAACCCAGGCTCCTAACAGAGTGAGAACCATTGTACCACAAATACAGGATGGAAAATTGATTCCCCTCCTAACACAACACAATAGCAAGGCTACTTCAAACTAAATATTGTTAAAGAATATCTAAATACATTCATTAAACTACATACAAGTGTAGCAAGTAATTAGCTTGTCATAGGAGACATACTTCTGGTAAGTATTTGCCCAACCTCGTACCCAGGGTAAAGACGCTGGGTACGAGGTTGGTATTTGCCTAAGTTTGCTTGTAATAATATAAATATATTATTAATTTTATTAAACTAAATAAAAAACATACCCTTTGCCTTGAAGCACCATAAATATATTATCCGCTTCAGTCAAGAGGAAAGGAAGTACAACTAAAGTCGACATCATGGCTGACCACATAAATGTTTCCTCTAAATAACTAAACACAAATATATATATATATATATATATATATATATATATATATATATATATATATATATATTAGCCCAACATTTAGCACTGCTACACTTTACACTTAGCATTTAAGCATTTTGCTCTGTTTTATACACCACAAACAAATGTGACAATTAACAAATACAGTCATACAATGTCAGTCAACTCACTGATAATCTTTTTAGTAGCATTTTTGATTACCTTAGGAGTGCAGCACCATATAGAACAGCAAGACAATGAAATGTAAGCACCCCAATAAACCATTTCAGCAAAGACATCAGAATAAAATTTCCCTGAAAATAGAACTAATTCCTCATTCCATCCCTTCAGTAAATATAAAGAGGATTGCAGGTTCAGCCATTTTAGAGACAAATTTTGAAGGCGCCTTGTGTTACATCTGGATTTTTGGTACTTCTATTTCAGTGTTCTCATTGTCTAGATATTTCAGTGTCACTGAACTATACGTACATCAATAGTCCAAGAACATATCTAGCCATCAACATAGGCATACAGCCTACTCCCATTTCACAGGTTTTCTCACTTTTCTGGACATGCAATCTAGGTTCATTTTTAAAACTTCTAAACTCTCGCTATTCAACACTGCCATTTTCTAGCTAGCAGGGAATGTACTAAGTCACTGACTAAGTCAGTCTATAAGACTAATTAGAGTATAGGTAATAGGTATTCTGATACTATTAAATAGTATTATGAAAATCATACTATTTCATAGTTTTTCTGCTGTAGCTCACTGTTTCCTCAAACGTGGCTACGGCGACACGTTTCTACAGCTACGTGCGCATTTATCTAAACGAAGTGAGATGAAAAACCAGTACCTTAGTTTGTGAAGGTGACAGCAGCGTATTTGCAAAATTTTGGCCACTCATGAAAAGTAAAATATAATAACCTAAAACATAACTCGGGCAGAAGAACTTCAAACTGGTCACTGGTGACTTTATCAGCCCTATGTCATTCGTGAGGAAATTTGAAATGGTGAGAGAAAATATGAAATTTATTAAAAGAATTCCAACGACTTTTAGGCATGTCAAATCGTCCATATTGAAACCACGCGAGGTCAGGTGTGATTCCGCGGAAATCGCGGGAAGCCCACACTCCACGCGGAGATGTTTATTAATAAGACAAAAGGTAGTGTCGCAGCTCCTCACAAGAATGATTTTCATTGGCTGAACTTTACAATACATTTCTGTTTCAACCAATAGCATAGCTTCGTTCTTTAGAAAGCATAGAAAAGCATTATCCAATTAGACGAAAGCTTCCGAGAGCTGCGACATGTCCTGAGACAAGACAAAAATTGTAATCAGTCATCATTTTGTAAGCTCTTTTTAACTAAAAAATAGTTTGTTTAAGGCAGGTAATTTCACAAAAGTGCCATCATTAACGCTTTAACAGTTTTTATTGTTTCAGTTTAAACGCTATAGTTTATTACAATCAGTGCAAGGCTTTCATTTATAAATTATAACGTCTTTATATTCTCTGAATAGAATGAATAACGTCACAGAGTTTGTTGAAGTGCGCATGCAATTTGCAAAATGTTATATTATGTCTCATATTAAATCAATATAAAAATGTTTGTATGAAACGCTATTCAAGGTTTGGTGCTTAATAATTAAAAAATATATCTGTGCACTAAAATTGAGAGGTGCACTAATTCTGCCTTTAAATCAGTGAGGTACATGTGAGTGTGCTTTCTGAATAAGTGCAAATGGAACAACTAAAAGATAGCAAAATGTACATTATACCACAATACATCGCGAGCAACTAATAATTATAACGTTCGTTTGTCTTTCGAAAACCGGCACTAAGTCTCTTTTTTCAAAGAATTCTGACAGGAACAACGATGTACTCTGGCAAAATGCACATCGGTGCAATGATTTATTATTATGGTGCAATGGCAGGTGAATGTTCTATACACATTACAAAACAAAGGCGGATAAAAATCTCGCTTCTTCAGTCTTCACGGCACTATTTTGTCCGACAAAGTTCAAAAGGCCATCTATAACTCGCAAAATTTGACGTTGGCGCCATAAGGGATGTCGAGGAAATCGAGGGTTTATAGTATGCTTGATAAAGTGATGCGGGATAGGAATAGAAATTTGTCCATCTTGGTACCAGGTTATCCAGTTGTGATGTATACTGTACCGTAGGCCGTTGATAGCACATCGTACTCTGGCATGACCATGGAAGGTATTCAACATTGTGTAGCCTTGGTTTGCCATCAGTTGCAATTGGTGATTTTGTTAAGGGTTTTCCCTGGACGGCAATACATTGTTGTTCCTCACGTCTTTGTTTGGCCCGACGGTTCTGGAACCACACCTGTTTAAAGGAGATTATTAGAAATAAGACGCATTATATCATAAAGTAGACTTATAGCATACGCCCATCGAAAAACGATCGAAATGGATACTTTTACCGCACTTCCGGTTTAAACACAACCATAGATTAGACGAGACTTATAAACACATTTTATGAACAAACATGCATTGATAGTTTTACAAATGTTTAACTGCAAACAGTGACACTTGGGTAAAGTTTTGTTGGATTTTTGCTAAAAGCCCAAGAAATACGATAGCGATCGAAAGCGGCTGTCAATATTTCATGCACATCAAATTTCTTTATAGTTTCGCGATAGTTGTATATTCAAGTTAATTCAACACCATCCTACTATATGGACGTCGTTATTGTCAGACGAAAGACTTGTCTTTTGAACGATTGCGAATAAAATTCGCATGTTGTTGAAAAAGCAGTGAAGACTGATGCATGCGCGCTTTATCAGTTCAAACCAAAAATTACAACAGCACGATATGTAATGAAAAAAGAATGTATTCAAAGGCAAATTTACGAAATAAATTTCATGTAAAGACGAAGTGAGCAAATGGAAAAAAAACTGCCGGCGCTGATACGGTTATTGTATAGCTATATATATATAACGTCACGCAAGGCTTATATAGTCCTAAAGTTCAAAAGTCTAAAGTCCCTTAGTCCAAAAGTTGGAATAGTGGGGGATGTGGGTTGCATGGAGCGTGGGTTTCCGAAAATAAAATATTGGGTAGTTTTTATCATACTAAAATAAGAAGCGATATACTATATTGGCCTTTTCTGTTACCAAAATAGCATGTTTATGCCGGAAGCCGCAAGCCATGCAATCTTCATAATTTCTACATGCAACTTACTACGATTTCATTCACAGGCTAAATGCATCGGCTACGTTTATATCTATACGTTTTGTTGAATTTTTTTTAAAAGCGTATGGCCGAAATGTGAAAACTGTGAAATCATGTTTTTCAATTCATTCCGGCATTCCGTGAGGACGGTGTCTTAGTTTGGTCGTCTATAACCGCACGTTTACTAAACATCAATCCTTTTACAAGACCGTTTGCAAAACATAGAAGTAAACAATGTGTAATTCTCACGCAAGCTTACTGACCTGCACTCTGCCTTCCTCCAAATCCACTTTTTTTGCCAACGAATCTCTGGCCTCTACGTCTGGGTATTGCGAGATACGATAGGCAAGCTCCAGCTGTTCCAGCTGATAGCGAGTAAATACTGTGCGATGCCGTCTCTTCTTCTTTTGAATTTGCTCGTACATATCGTCGTCCGTTCGCTTCCTCTTACACAGAACTAAAGAAGCATAATCGAACGTAATTAAAGCTCACAAGAGCGTTATTAAAGGCTGAAGATCAAACTCCACCTATATTCCTCAACGTTAATCCGGTAAATGTGTAAAATCCGTGAAATCGTCACGTCTTAACTAGTATAAGAATTTCCGTGTGTAAATGTCAAAAAAGCAAGCCGCCAGAGTTTATCGCGTAGTTGAACAAGAACTTCGTGTTTGGCCTTAATGATTCTTATATGAAATGTTTGTTACAAACAGAAGGGATTTAAAAAAAGATTTTAGACTTAATTTACTGTAAATTGTCAAGACGCCGAATACAAATCGTAACGATTACGACATAATCGTTTCTGACCTGTCGAGTTGTTATAATGCGTCTATAATCATATTGATCAGTTTAATAACTGATGGGAATATAATCGTATTACCATGCATTAATATCGATAATTAGGTCAATATCTACAAAGTTGATAGCTGTGATAACTAATTTCTTAATTAGGCTCTTTGCGTAGGATGAATTAGTTCTAATCAAGGCAGACGTCTCATGCAAAGGTATTAATAAGAGCATCTGATGTGTCCATAGAATTCTATTACGGGAATTGATGTCTTTATACGATAAAATCATTGATCAAATTACTCAATAACTCTATATATTGAAGTAAACGTTACAGCGTTCTCGCGCTGTATTGACAACCAAATATTTATATTATCAAAATATAGTGCATGTCGAATTAACATTGCGCAGGAGGAAATTATCTAATAGAGGATGTTGTCACGCTTGTAAAATCACATATCGTTTAGCTGTGTAATAAAGTATAGAGATAATATTTGGACGATGAGCTGTAGGCAACATAAAGGACATATAAGACTCACCACTCATAGGCGCACATGATAAAGTTGGACTGATAACTGGACCGCGTGATTGTGCAATAAATTGACCTGCGTCCATCACAGTAACGCCGTTATCTTCTTCATTTTCGCTGAATGCTGTCATGGTGAGTTTATTCCTCAAATCTTGTGCTACGTTCTTTGCTTCTTCTCTGGCTCGAGTCTCGAAGTTGCTTTGTCGACGGCTTGCTTCAAAATGAACTGCACAGTGTGTTTATACAACGGGTTAATTGCGACAACTATTTGTTTAGATTTCTTTGTCAGGTAATTATGCCGTTCGTTAAATATTCAACACATAATTTGCCCCGTCAACACAAATTGTCACGAAATCTGCAATTATCATTACGATACGTTCGAATCGATTCTAAAGCAACCAAAATAAGCTTGGCTATATTACGGAGAATTTTGGATGAGAAAAAGACCTATAAGGCTTTCTTTGACGATTTTTTTGACGTAGGCTTGTAGCTTCATAGCTACTATATTTTGTTGCTAAACTATAGTTGCTGCTAAGCAAAAGTAAACATGACGCAGAAATAGCGTGCACGATTTCAAAACTTTCATCGGCTCAATAAAAACATCTACATGAACCACACAGACCACGAAAGCCTTCCTAGGCTAAATATTCCCCTTGAAGCATTCAGACCTTCGCTATAATAATAATCAATATTCTCGCAGTTAAAAGATTAAATTTAATCAATTTAGGCCGTACGGTATAGAGTAGTATATTAGCCCCACCTAGAGCTGCAAAACAAATAAATATATGAGTTGTTTTAAAACTATATACCGCTGTCTTTGCACTTTGAAGAAGCGGTATGCACGGTGAGGGACCAAAGCACTATGGTCAAAAGGATATTTTTTGAAGTCATAAAATACGTCGCTTTCCGAAAGCGTCACGCTATAGGCAGCGCAACCGCAATACCAAGTGCTTGCGTGCGACATATCCGCGCCATGCATGGACATTTTGATTCGGCGATGCGTATTCCAGATGCCGCCTAAGGGTCGACCGGTGCATTCCGCTGTCCCGCAGCACAAGCGTGTTTTGGCTAGAAAAGATGTTAACGTTTATGCTGTAATCATTAAAACCAAATTGAACATAATATTGATGCACAGGCTTTATTAGCAGCCGTTGGTTTAACTCTAGCAAACTGATTATTAAAAAAGCATTTTTAAATTTGATAATATCGATCACAAATATAGGGTTTTTTTTATATATCCCTCAGAAAATTTATATTGAATAAAGAATGAATGAGCTGGCATTTTCATCGTTCAACATGTGAACAACGGCGTTATTTATATAAAACAAAACGGTACATTATATCTTTTGGGCATTTCCAGAGCGCCATTAGTGCGAAATTCTTTCAAATTAAGACTGCTTAGAAATTACTTTTCATTAGCAAGAGTTCAAAGGGTATGGCCTAAAGGTCACGTGTCTTTGCACAGGCTACTCTCTACCGGTTCGCGGTAATGATGAATATTTTAAAAGTTGCAATACGTAATTAGATTTGCGACTTTGTTTTTTTATACTATAAACTACGGTAACTACCTCTAAAGTACATTTATTATACTTTATCTCAAAACCGGTACTATAAGAAATCGCTAATGATATTATTAATTTGACGTCATAATGACATTATTACTGCTTCCATTTGAAGTTGGGCTAGAAACGGTGCAAGTTAAAGAAATTAGCGGCTATGTGGAAATAGCTAACAGAAAACCCCGCCTGGATTTATTGTGTACAAACTAGTGCACGCGGTCGTGTTCGTCTACTTCGTACAACAAAATTACAATAAAAACTAACAATAAATCTAAAAATCGGCAATTACAAAAAATTACAACTAAACTAAAAATTACAATAGAGCTAAAACCGACATTTTCGCCTCTTCAAAGAATATGGCGTCGCAAAATTATTTTTATTTTGCCAATTGTGGTTTCAAAGAATGCACGAAAAATATGGAGGTCACAGCTTGCTTTTTGCCAACACTGTGCCAGATTATTTTGAAATGAATTTCATACACGCGTGCGTCACCATAGCAACGGATGACATGCTGCTATTGTCTGTTACTAAAGCTTTCAGAGATCCAAGCGAGACAGCAATATATATACATAAATACTCCAATAATCAATATATCTGCTAAGTATCGGAAGGGCTGTTTACATGATCCCGCTTAGTCGAGATAGTAAAACGAGGCGTGAAACGACTTTGAGGTATTGAAATGATTATATAACATACCCTGGCAGTAGTAGTCATCCCAACAAATAAAGCGTGCACGTACTTGTTTTGTTTCATTCAAATGAAAGGCCTATTTCAATGCCTCGAAATCATATCACGCTTTGTTGAATCCCGGGTAACCGGGCTCATATAAACAGCCGCTAGAAGAATTATTCAAAAAATATTATCGAACCGTTTATCAAACTACCTTTACAAAGTCAAAGGCCAAATGGGACGAAATCGGGTGTTGAAAACGATTAGACACTACGGTGAAAATTGAACTGAATGTGAAAGCAATCAAATTTTAAAGGCAGAATGAATGAATGCAAAGTTTAATTAAAACTAATTTTCGGCATAGTTCAGGCGCTAAAAGGAAAAAAACCGCGGAAGCCGACAGGCGCCTAATTTAAAATTACGTGCAGTCGATGTTTAGAATTCGCCATAATAAAAAAGATGGCGACAAGTCGATCTGGAATGATGCATATGGTTTGAAAATGCTGAACAGCCATTGGCATTGCTGTTGACGCGTGATATGTTTATATTACATGACGGCCTGCTTACTCGCAACTTGCAAGCAAACCGCGCGTGATACTCATGTTCATTGCTATAGCAGACGGCTACACCTGCTTCGTCGTGAAATAATAAATGTAGTAATTAAGCAATTATTGGAGTGTAATTTTACTTCAAACGTAAGAGAGACTTGTTATCGTCTAGTGGATTTAAAACTTTTTCGCTTTTAACTTTTCATCGTATATGGCATTTTCTTATTCTAATTTTCTTAACTTTTTTATTTTAAAATTTAACAAAATATGCCGCGGTAGAATTATTTCGGAAAAAGGCACTTGAGGTTGAAAAAATAACTCGACACATATCATCGACTCTATCTTTATTTTGTGGTATATAAGAACACAATATGTCCATTTTAGGAATATCTTCAAGATATGACATAAAAAATATTCATGAATTTATGAACACAGCCAGACTTGTAAGCTTAGCATTTGCATCTTCAATTTTCTCTGTATACTTATAATGATTTTTCTTTATGTTTTAATAATTTTACACTGTGCTGACTATAAGCGGTGGACGAACTCTCGTTAGTACTGTGCGGTACAACAGCCACAGATGGTCGCACACACAAGGGTTCGTTTTATCCAAACAGCGTCTTGTCCACACCGCCACATGCACTCTACTTGACAAAAACATCTCCCAGGCAGTCGAGTCGTCTCAGGGCCTGTCTACACTAGTGCGTTTTCGTTTGTATGCGGTTTCGCAAGACCGAAAACGCATCGATCGATTCGCGTTCACACTACCGTTTTCGTAGCGTATTCGACTGTTCACACTAAAACGCTTGAATACGATGAATACGCTTGATGCGCGGTTATTTGTGAAGTCAACACGATGCATTTGACAACAAACCACTAACAATGCTCGATATAACAACATTATGCTAAAAACTAATATTGCAGTATATTTGCGTTTGTTATATGGACAGTAGTATTATATTGAAAAAGATACCATATACGTGCCACTATATATACAACCGGGTCACGGTGCAGGAATTTTACGTATGTCACATTTGGGAGTGCATGATATGACGAATTTCAAAAATTTCCCGCCATTTTCATTGTTATTGTCGAGAAAATACAAATGACCTTTGGTTCTTATATAAAACAAAATAAACGTGCATGGGAAATAAACATGAGATTTATGTTTACGCTATAATTTAAAAAATATTCGCTTTTACAATGGTCTCTATTTATCTCGTTTATTGCATTCGCCGGTTGGAAATATATAGTTTTATTGCTGAACTGGTAAAACAACGGGATCTGAATCACTTTACATAGGGCATATTCCCGTATTATCAGTATCAATTATATATACATTATTTTCGTCTATTATTCGCATTATGAACAATTGTATAGATTCAGCCGCCTTATTCATCGACACGCCATTTCTCAGCGGCTTCGCGCCTAGCGTCCGGTAAAATTTGATTACGAACTCCGCCAAGTACATTTGACGTTGCTTCAGTCGCTAATATGATTGGTTGAACGACGGCTGAGGGAATATGACGTAATACACCCCCAACAGCGCCGGTCACACCTTTATTTTCGTGTTCCTCTTTTGCCACTTGCACGATGTTCGACGCTGTTTTACCAAAGCCCTGCAAGAGAAATAACTCGTGCATGTCGAATATGTTTATTTCCATTTTTAGCTTCCCCCCGGTTTGCAATGATGCTTCAAAATAATGTCCCAAGGAACTGGAATTCATCGTAGGCACAGAGTACTACACAGAGGTGGAACTCGCGGCAAATCTTGTCCCCCTGTTTTTAATGCGCACGCGCTAGGCTCTGGCAAGTGTTTTTGCACTTTTTAATAAGGAAAATTCGATTTTTTAGCAGAAAAAATGCAATTTTAAAGCCAAGGGTCTTTTGCTGTTCGTTTTTTTGACAAATTTTATTTATCCATCCGACATTGCTCCTTTTGGATTAAAAATGACTGGGATAATACGAATTCAAACGGGAAAAAAAGGGAAATACAACTACGAGGAGTGCGATTTTCACACGAAGCTTCTAGAACTGCCAGGTAAATATTCAAAGTTTGGTATTTCATCTAATAAATGTAGGTCTATCTGACTATATTTCGCCAACATGCAGTCGTATTTTTTTCTAGATGGCGAAACAATCTTCTCAAAGTCAGTTAACTTTTGAGCGGACGACATATCTACTGTTCAACAAGATAGCAAGTTACGTGGCTATTAAAAAAGTTTTACAACGCATACGTAGTTTACTGATATTTGTGAACCCTATTATGTCTCCTATGTGTATTATATTCACATCCAAAATTTGGAAAATAGCTTTCAATCTTCTCATAGAAGCCACACAGCATTGCATAGATTAGATTGGAAATTGATCTGCATGTCCTTCATGAACTGAAATTAATATCTGTTAGCACATTTACCATTTGTGTCAGTGTGTGAAGTTGGATTTATACTCATGTAAAAAGTATCGGTATATATATATATATATATATATATATATATATATATATATATATATATATATATATATATATATATATATATATATATAGGTATATATATATAGGTAAAATTTGCATTTGTTTATTGTAAATCCTTTGAATTCAAGTTCAAGATTCGAATAAAAAACATGTAGTTTTTGCTAGTTTTATGGCAAAATAAATTATTTTCAAAGAAATTTTTTCGTGTGTTTGAATTTTAGAAATAACACATCAATCATGCTTGTTTTAAGATCAGCTCAGATGTTTTCTGGATGGAAAAATAACTGCCTAATTTATAATCGGCGATGATGTTGGCAATCAACTTGATATTTATAAAGAAAATCATTCGTGCTTGTATTTCTTACCTCTTTAACCTAACGCATATATTTTTTACAAAAACACAACCATTTACCGTTTGTTTTTAAAATTTAGGCGCAAAAATGGAGGTCGATAGAGCCAGCTTTAAAATATTAACATTTTTCGTCTTTCGAACACCTTTTTCCCTTACTTTAGAGTCAAAATGCACTTGCCAGAGCAATTTGCGTGGCGCGTGGAATGGCGTAGGCAGGGGGACAGCAACATCAAAGGGTCCGCCGCGAGTTCCATAACTGTATATCATTAAACTGTGTCGTAGGGCATCGCGGAGTGAAAGTGGAACTTTCCAGAGTTCGAACTATTTCGTAAAGTATAAAATTCATACACAATAAACTCACCTCGGTGACAACGTTATAAGCATTCGCTATTCCTTGTCTAAAATCTGCTGGCTCGGAGTTAACACGTCGCCTGACAAGTTTACCATGTGATCCTGGAGCTAAATTATTCTCTGTGGGACTGACTATATCATACGCCACCTCGGCAGCGCCCTTGGGCAAAAACAACAACAAATGCATATGACCGAAGGAAAAGGAGTATACTACTTCTGAATCATCAATCACCTTTTTCAAAACATTCTATTATTCAAATCGAAAGCAAATGAACTGAAATAAACTTTATCTCATTAACATTAGGTTCGGCGCATGAAGTTTCACGTTTGAAGCGGGCCTTAAGGCTGGTTTCCACTCAGGAAAAAATCTCCTTTGGATCGGAACGGACAGAAAAATTTCCTTTGTTGGTGAGTTCTCAGGCGGCGTTTATACAAAGGAATACAAAAATACTGCTAATGCCTAATAGTTGTATAAACACAAGCTTCAGTTGCGATCTTTTTTAAAAACGATAAGTTGCACTCTGGTTAAGAAACATGCAACGATTTAAACTTACATGAACGACTTGAACCAATTTATTGGTAAGTTCAATGAATGCCATTGCTGAAGAGGTCGTGAACGAGCTGGCTCCACGTTGAAGCCCTCTCATAATCCGACCATCTCGACGATATTGTTCCACGGGTAACCAGAATAGATCCTTCACTCCTTGGAATAACTGTACCAATGAATATGTCGGTCCGACTCCTCCAAGGATACCTATATACCACAAAAAAAAACAGAACGGCAAAAATTTTAATCGTTATACAAACTTTTTTTAATGAGAAAACAAATTTCTAACTGTTCTACTAATTCAGAAGGGGTATAGCTAAATATAGCTAAATTTATGACCCTATTGCCAAGGCTTGTTGAAAACGATTAATGTGGTAGACATATTTGTTCATCAAAATAAACAATTTACAAAAACCTATAAATATATGCAGTTGTAGATAAAATGAATATTTTTCAATGCATGGTTTGTTCACTTCAAAGAACTATGAAGTAATCATCATGTACGTTTCATACTTACGCCAACCTTGAAAGCGCGCGAAAAATAATATACATACCTGGAATTTGTCTTTTCTTGATATCATTCGCCCATTCATTAAGGACATAACTAAGAACTCGATCAAAACCCATCAGGCCACTTCTGTGACACAATCGTCTCAGCGTGATTTCAGAGCAGTTCAACTGCGCGAACGCGAACAGCACTCCAGCCAGACTTCTCTGAGAAATGAGGGGAATGCAATAATTAGATAAGCGGTTATTTTCGACTAGAACATCGCGATTATCGGCAATACAGTATGTATACAACTAACTAACCTGCCCCATATCCATGCCATGTTTTCCATGATAATCAAGTCTAATGGGAACATCAGGAGAAAATTCGACCAGTCGGAAGAAGATTGGCGCATCGCTGTTTTCTTCCATGTTTCTATCAACAGAGATATCTTGCGAAGTTGACATCGACATCGCCACTTGAGGTTCACTGTCATGTATATCTAAAGTAAGAAAATTTCAAATTTTGAAATACAATCACTAGTTCAGATATGGTAAGATTGCCTGTTTTTTGAAAACAACAAATAGCAAATAAATGTTATGTGTTCATAAAAATCACTGAAACTTACTACCATCATCTGTACCAGAAAGGTCTTTGCAGAAATTAATGATAAACTGAAGGGTATCCTAAAATGACAAATTTATATAACACAACTTTTAGTGAAAGTCATAAGCCTGAAAATGACATGCATGGCCGTGATGATCTTATTCGACGTTAACCAGACCTTTTCTAGAAATAAACTGTATCGCTATTCGCTATTATATTCCCTATTTTTTTTCGATACTGCATGAGGAATAGTTTGGCCCAAAATCCAATAACCGCGTGCATATGGCTTTTGTATATAAAGAAAGAAGAAAGGCCTATAATTTATATAGTCTTCAGTATGAGATTATATTTATATAGTAAATTTACCTGGTCAATGTTGAGTCGTAAAGGTTTCAAGGACACTCTCAAACAACCTTCTTGTGAACTGAGACCGTCATCTGGTCGAAGACCAAGCATCTTTATGGAAATCTGAAGAAAGTTTACAAATTTTAATTATTATCAAAAAGAGAAGCTAATCAATCTAGTTGCTGCTCTAACGTAAAGTTAATCCGTCACAAAGGAAAGGAAGCGGAGGGGAGTGGAGGGGAGGGGAGGGGAGGGGAGGGGAGGGAGGGGAGGGGAGGGAGGGGAGGGGATGGGATGGGAGGGGAGGGGAGGGGAGGGGAGGGGAGGGGAGGGGAGGGGAGGGGAGGGGAGATACAACCTGAAGTTTACTAACGTACCATATTCGAATGAGTCTGTCTCGGCCGTGCTTCAGTTGAGTACTGATACAAAAATTTGTTGATTTGCGAAGATGACAGTCGGTCGCGTATTTCCACATCCTGAACAAGCAGAACTTGTCTCCACGCCTGTTTAGTTTCGGCTGGATAATCTTCATATTGAAAACGAACCTGCGGAATATCGAAAATTGTCAACTATCGTTAGCAATATCTAACTTCGGTCGGTTTATTAATTACTTACTTTGTTCAACTGCACTTCGACTAAAGTGTTAAGGTCGCGTGACTCTCCCCCGTTCGTCTTCCAATTTATTCTTGTACTGGAACTTCTCTTTCTGTTACCATGGTTACCGATGACGACAGGATCATCGTCCACGTTATCATCCTCATGATATTCACGGTCATTATCTGTAGTATTTTGACCGTACTGATTGTTCCTAAGAAATTTTGGACAAATTCAAGGTCGGGTTAATAAATAATGCGAGTTCATCAAAATCTAAAACCCTTGTGACTATTCTATGATCTACATTCCTTTAAGTGTTTAGACCTCGATCTGAACATTTCATTTTTGTCGAATCAGTAATTTAGTGTCTACATTTGAAAATGCCTTGCTCTGCCGTGGGCTAGAACGTATGTAATTGAATAGACCAACTGCCTAAAATAGACAAAACACTTCTCGACGTTCCGACCTGAAGGGCTTCGTCAGGAGAGTCAGTATGCCTTACTCTTACTAACTCTCCTGACGAAGGCCCTCAAATCGAAACGTCGAGAAGCGTTTATTAAGGGAGCTGTTATACCACATTTGATGCTTAGTTGTTTGGAGACGCTGCCACGCTGCTCCCTGGTTATTTTGGAACGTATGTAGTTGAAATCTAACATTGATTTGTTTTCGTGAGGTATACTGATACAATGGCGATTTTTCTGAGTGATACCTACCTTGTCCTCCTTTTGTTATTTCTCCTCGCTTCGAAATCGCTGCCTCCAAAAAGTTGCCAGATTACAGACATTTCTTTTATTGTGTAGCAGAAAAGCGGGGTGGGGAAATTACTGGGAGGCTTTAGTTGGTCTACACCGCCAACCTTTAAACACAAAATAATTATGTTAGAATCAGAGAAAATGTTGTGCCACAAACGATCAGTGTGCCGTCACTGCGTTGCTCCTCGGGGCATCGGTAAAATGTCTGATTACTTTATTAATACGGGTCCGTTCATAAATCGCAAGCACTAATGGAGAAAGGATCAGATTTTTTACTTAAACGTGAATTTGTCTATACTAGAAAGTTTCGTATAAGTATAAATGACAAAAACATATGTTTAATATACACATAAGCATTGCCATTGCAAAGAAGTCTATGAATAAGGAAGGCTGGTGCGTAATAGAAACATCAAATGCCGCCTAAAAACGCAGCTAGAATTAAACTACCATGGACTCACAGGTATTCGGAAATGATCAGGGATTATCTTTATTTCATCACAAAATGACGTAACTTCAGGACCATCACAAACCACCTAAAGTTATTAAAGGGACGTAAATTCAGGTTTCAAATGCATGCGCACACATTCCATCTCTATAGTTAGACTGGAATTGGATGAAGCAGAGTTGAACATGCAGTAATTGTTGAAATTGGTGAAAACACAAAGCCACAGGCAAAAGAACCGAGAAAGAGCAATTGATCATCTCATATGCATAAACATTGTTGCAAAGGCCAAAGCGAATATCGCTCGACCTCTATACTCAATAGTCACCGATTTTCGAGAAAAAACGGGTATAAACAAAGAGGTTAATTAAAAATATTAACAAAATTAGTGAAGAAAAACAAAACATGGCTGAATCATATAAATGTATAAATTAACGTGGGAGTGAAATCTCTTTATGTGTCTTGACTTCAAAACGATGCAACTAAAACTCGATAAGTACATACACAACTCAGGGTGACGGATACGAATCTAAATTATATTGAAAAGTGTATACACTTCCATATTCATGCTTGATACTTTACGAAAAAAGCGGAAAAACCGTAATGCAAAATAATTGTGCCGCTAATACAATTATTTGGAAGCCATTGTCAAGTTGGCGCCAGCTTGTCTGGCGAAAGGCTTCAGTTCGTATCTTGGAAATCTTTCCTAATTAAACATGTTGCAAAATCTAAATCGAACGCAGCGAAAACAATCAAGTCGTTTGATTAATTTATATCTGTAATCGCCGCGTGAGTTTTGATTTCATTATATACGAGCTTAGATGTTTTTCCGGGAATATATTTAAGAAAGCTTATATAAGCAATGGACGTTTTTAGCAACACGGACGTCAGGCGTTCATGCATCATTAAACGGTAAATTCTTGCATCAGAAGTCGCTATCTTAAACAAAAACGACCGTCGCCATCGAAAAACAGCTCAATTTACTTCCAGCCTGCGTTCGTGAATCAGAACGTCGCTATTTTAAGCTCACTATTCCTACGTTTATTACGCGATTTTCTATTGGCAAACAAGAGAACTGTATGTAGATAGGTCCTACTTACATCCTCTTCTTTTTCGGGGTGGTCTAAAATACAGAACTCCTCGTCAGACCACTCGTCAGCAAAGTCCTCTTTACCCGGTGGGTGAATGTCTCCATCTGGAGATGAGGCGGCGATTTGCGACTCATCAGGAAAATGAAAAACGTCAGTTTTTGATTGAGTATCATCTTTGAGAACCTACAAAATAACGCTTGATTGAAGTTATATAACAAACGATTATACGAGGTGGTTTGAGTATACCATACCAGTGTTCACATGGTCACCATACCTATGGGCCATACTGATACCATACCGGTGACCATGCACACAACCGCCATACCAATTACCGTACAGTCACAATACCAGTGACTATATGGTCACAATACCAGCGACCGTACTATTACAACGGTCGTGACCATACCTCATTTTCACCATCAGCGAAATCAGGTCTGTCTTCAAGACTTTCATCCATAGCATCCGACATTAGATCATGAAGACATCCATCTTCGGCGTTACGCTGTTCGACCGGAGAATCATCGACTATTTCTTTACCTTCCTAAGAAGTGCCAAAAAACTGCTTTGTAAAACTGATCATCGCCGTTGAGCGTATACCTATATATACATTATAGCTACACATACATTATAGTAATTAAAGAGAACTTTTCTATTGAATTTGGACTTACGTCGGTGTTGAGAATGTGATTTGATTGAACGGTGGTATCAATAGGTAAATCCCCATCAGACACAATATAACGAACAATGTCGAGAACAGCCGACAGCGAGTCGGAACAGGTTCGGACATGCACGATATTATTCGACAAAGTCAGCGTACGCTTCGGTGACTTCTAAAGGGAGAAATTACAAAAAGGTATTTCTATTTTCAAATCAATTCTATTTCGTACAAGTGATGAAGAGTTTGCGATCATAAATGGAATAATGGAAAGTTTCTTATACGTACAGTATGCGATAAAGGTATAATTCCATCATTTAATATTATGTAAGAATATAACCATAAACAAGTCTAGAAACATCAAATACATGCACAGAGAGAAATGAACGAAAAGTTAACGAGCAATTATTACCATTTCCTCATCATTTACTGTGTTTATTGACAATTCTAATAAATCCACGTCCGCAACGGATACATAGTCTAATATAGATGGAAAAAAATTTAGTTTGATTGTTAGCCTTCCAATCGAATAAAGACAACATACTAGGGTGAAATGCAATTATGATAGCGAAAAGCCAGAGTATTTATATTTTACATACTCAATGTGAAAAGTTGATTTGTGAATGCCACAGTTACAGGAAAATACTTTCTAATTGTTAAACGTATTTACCAATCTAGCATCAAATGTGGTATAACAACTGCCAAAATAGACAAAACACTTCTCGACGTTTCGACCTGAGGGTCTTCGTCACGACTAACTCAGGTCGAAACGTCGAGAAGTGTTTTGTCTATTTAGGCAGTTGTTATACCACATTTGATGCTAAGTTGTTTGAAGACGCTGCCACGCTGCTTCTTGGTTTTATTGGTATTTACCAATTTAGCTTTTCGTATGTACCTACCTTTAACAACATTCGTTGTTTCATTTTGGTTATTTGAAATGAGCATAACCGCATTATCGATGATAAATCTAGACAGAAAAGTATTTGAAAAAGGTAAGAAATGTTGAAATGAACAAAATATTATATTTTAGCATTCTATCTGTTGTATTCTCACCTTAGAATGGAGGTTTTAGAGTCCACCGTAATATTGCTCGAGATGCTGAAACCTTCGATCGTGATCAATACTTGATATGGAATATAGATTGGTCTAAAAACAACAAAAAGACAATGTATACTGTCAGTTGACAACTTTATCAGCCCACGACAATGCAACACAAAAAACACGACACGACAACACACGACACGACACAACACAACACGACAACACACGACACGACACAACACGACACGACACAACACGACACGACACAACACAACACAACGCAACGCAACGCAACCCAACGCAACTCAACTCAGCGCAACGCAACGCAACACAACACAACACAACACAACACAACACAACACAACACAACACAACACAACACAACACAACACAACACAACACAACACAACACAACACAACACAACACAACACAACACAACACAACACAACACACACAAACACAACACAACACAACACAACACAACACAACACAACACAGGAAGTTAAATGCCACACAAGCCGAACTATCACGCACCTGTAATAAAGAGCACAGTCCCAGAAATGAATATGCAGCATTGTTACCACCACAGGAGGAACGAAACCAACGACCTCCTCATCAACTACCCCAAAATAGTCGATCATCTAAAATGTATGACAAAGATATTAATTAAACAAGGAGTCTAGCTTCATATTCAACTGTGGCTAAAATACACGCCAAAAAGCGCTTCTGCATTATGACGTCTTCATAAAAAAATAGAGTTGGCAAGAGAGAAACAATAAATTATATGCAAATTAAGCCATCAAAAATGACCCTATACTCCATAGTAATGGCTTTGATTTCTTTCGAAACCCTGCTGACAGCTACTTCTTTCTATAAACATGTCCAATGCTACACATTCAGTGTTATCACATTGTTACCTGCAGTATCCAGACTTGTCCTTCGTTTACCATGCGATGACGTAATGTACCGCCACACAATGACAGCGCAACAACAATGTCCTATAAAATTGAACACAGCTGGATGGATTGCTCTCCTATCTCTAGAGATCTCGTCTTAAGCTAAGTTTTAGACGTCAAACACTTACCTTAGAATTTCTCTCCATGTCCCAGTAACTTTTGACGGCTAATGACAACATAGCTCGATTATTATCCATACTCGTTTTAGATCCCGTCACTTTGACCCCGGAGTCAGACTCGTATATAGTTGGGTACAAATCGCCGGGTACAAAAACAGTATCATCCATATTTCTCTCGATATCGTCAACGTGGACGGCGTGGTAAAGCGAACATGTCTGGGCCTGGGTGCTAATGTAGCACAAGTTAGGCTGTCCCTTGTAGTCCAGCACATAGAACAGCTGAGCGTTTTCGAAATGCAACAGTATTTTACCATAACCATTTTCGTTTTCAAACTAAAACGGGAAGAAGTTTTCGTTCAATCAATAAATTAACTAACCAAAACCATCATGCTTAAAAAGTCAATAGTGTAAAGGCTAGTTTCCACTCAGGAAAATTCTCCTTTGGATCGGACAGGGCAGGAAAGTTTTCTTTATGTAAACGGCGCCTGAGAACTCACCGACAAAGGGAATTTTCCAGTCCGTTCCGATCTAAAGGAGATTTTCCTGAGTGGAAACTAGCCTTAACACTACTGATCAAGCACTATACTTTATAGTAAAGGACTAGTCTTTAAAAATACCCAAAAATATGCCCAACCAGTGTACTATTACAACATCGTGTTGCACTCCTTCACTTTAACTGGGCTATGTTCAAAACTCTGAACACTTAGATCTTTTTCAGATGCATACTGTGATATTGACAACTAACATTCTTCGATAATCCAGCATAAAGTAGCACGCACGGACCCTGAAATTCTTGATGCTTACCTTCGTCCTCGGAAACATGGCGATTCTCAACTTTGAAGAGTTCAAGGTTAGAGCAAGACTACTGCTCGGCTTCTTCTCCGTTGTATGTATGACCTTTTGTTGATCTGAAACATCGCTGTCGTCTTCCTCTGATGAATACGAGTCTGAATGAAAAATAAATGTCAGATTACTAGCTGTATCTGCACAATCGTATGCAAATTATAAATATACATATTTTTCTAATCGGTATCGGAACATTTAAAGTATACTTAGTTTGCCTGTGTAAACAGCGAAAGCATACCACATTTGACAAGCACGGTACGGAATCTTGGGAAGCATTCCTTTATACGGTAAAAACGGTCAGACTGGTCGTGTTATATGTATTTAAGTACAGGGGCCGGTTGTATAAAAACGTAGCTAACTTTTAATTACAGTTAGTGACAGAATTAACCAGAGTCATGTAATTCTGAGTTAACTACGATATAACTACGCAAATGTAGTTAGGAGTTTTATACAACCTGCCCCAGACAGATTATTTCATAGTGTTGCAAGAGCTCTGCATTAAAGTACATTGTTATAACAATAATTTTGTTTAACACAGGAAACGCAGCTTCACCGTTTTATTTCCAACGAAATACTCCATTTCAATTCAAAATGTAAACAGATTGACCATTTTGGCCGCCTAAAGGCGAGCGCCCTTGGTTTCCCGCCAAAACCAACAACAAAACTGGACAAGTAGTTAAGACAATATTTTAAGCAAAACAATACAAATACGTTGGACCAAAACGGGAATAACCTGAATACAATCTCCATACCTTCATTGATAACTGAGCGACACATTTGAAAAGTGCTTTGAACATTTTTGCCATCTTTTAACCTCGCAGCAACGTCGAAATCAATCCAGGTATTAGCAAGCACTGCGTTGGCGTCTTGTTGTTGGCTATCAGGTCCTGGTGTTGGTTCCCATAACAACAGGTCATTTCCAAACCTGAAGATAGAAAAACAATTGTGAATATGCTGGGTTTAAGGCGAAGAACGAGGAATATTTCTTGCTCACCTGTTATAAATCAGTTCGAAGAATGGCGGGTCTTGGAAATTTACATCGATTTCGGGAAAGTTCAGTTCCAAGTGTAACTTAGAGAAAACTGACGTCTTTTCTTGAAATTCTTTCATCTCTGAAGGATCACCGGGCACCACCAGCTGAAAAGAAAATCACAAATAAGTTAAAACACGGCAAATGTAAAATGAATTGTTATATAAATGAAGTCGTGCAGAAATAATTAATTGTCGAGTGATAAATTATGAAATCCACGAGTTTAAAAGAAAAATATTAAAAAGCACACTACCTCTTCTTTATCGTACATGACAGGTTTTGAAGAGAAAGGCGAAGGCTCTTGTTTGAACATTGGACACGTATCTGATAAACTGTCAGGAGAACTATCACCAGACGATTCTTCTTCCAGTACCGGGCCTGATACCGGTTGAGTGGAAATCACAATCCTGGAATAGGATAAATATTCAGAGATGTAACACTTTTACTGCATGTTAGGAGCTGATGAAAAAATACTGTATTTTATGATTTCAGTGCCAGCAAGGGAGTGTATATGAACAGATGTACGCGTCCGATTTGGTATCAATAGTTAGTCGTTGGTCAATTACAACACACCTTGGAAAATCGAAACCATTTTCATCGTCTTCATTACCAGAATGCCGTTGACTCACATGGATAAAATGATCTTCGGCGCTTTTCGCATTAGACTTCCAGTAACCTGTAAGAAATATTTCGGATAAACAATGAAAACATTCCGTAAGATATGTCTTATTGCGGGTAGACCACCTAAATTGCCTAGGGCGAAGCTGACCTACTACATTTTAGGACACACCATCAACACCACACTCCGGCCGCCATCTTGGTATAGCCAAGATTAAGTACTCTGATTGTCACTGATGTATGCATGCATTGCATGCTCTTAATGCTAATAATAGTTAAATATAGCGAACGTACCATCCATAGTTTTGAATCTCAACTCATACGTTTTAGCTGCCTGGCTATCTTGTAAACATGTCTCAAATGTGACGTCTGTGCAACGAATCAAACACATTTCATCACGCAGTCGTTTCTGCCATAACGGAGGAGTAACTCGCACGTCCGGGGGGCGCAGGTCCAGGATTGGAAACCTAAGAATGATTTTGGATACGGTTATGCTCGTTATCAGCATTTCATTAGGGCCTAATCCATTTCTATTCCGGAAATATTCAATAATACCTGACTGACGCGGAAAAACATGAACATTGAACATGAACTTGAATTTTCTGCTCACAAGAGGAACCATCGTTCATAGTTCTTGAGAATAAAGCCTGTTCGTTCTAAATGCAAAATATTCGGTCTTACACCCATGATGGCAATATACCAGGATTTCTTTGTTAAAAACATTTTCTAGCGATTGATCGTAATTGTTAAGCTAGAAATACGCAAAAATCCATATTTTATTCTGTCCTGCACGAAAATGATTGTCCCAAACGAGTTAACGATACTGCTGTACTTACTGCATCAGTATGAAGTGGAGCAGAGGCGAAATAGTGCGACGATGGTTTGGGTTGACCAGCAGATGCAACCGTAGGGTAGAATACGCCGTGTAGTCGGTCTATAAGAGTCACATCGACCTCCACTTCCACATCACCCAACTGAACATCAATTTCGGTTCTTGGAATAACACTGTGACGACCCTGAATAGACGCCTGTAACAAAATTAAAAGTAGATATATACGTATGTACTGTATATAACCGAACATTCAAACTAGGGCTCAAATTTTGCTTAAAAACGTTAATATAAGGTCGGTTCCGGGAATGTATTCATCATCAGTATTGCACTTACAGGTGAACAACTCCGTTGTATGCTCTTGTATTTCGCCTTCAGACTTGGCTTTGGTACTCTGACAAAATTACCCATGCGAGATTGGTTCTCATTGCTCCCAGAAACGCTAAGAACCTGTAAATTCAACAACATAATTAATAACATACAAAGTTTTGAAAACTGACGTTCGCACAGTCGCCACGGGGCTGTGCTATACTACCATTTACAGAATGTATTATACCTGCGTTAGATTGTGTTTGACTTTTTCGTTCGTGTCGTCAACTAAACATTCTATCAATCTCGCCGTACCAACAGATACTTCGGTGGTTACATTTTGACACGCGGACGTACTGGACAGTTCGGCCGATACGCTCACAGTTGTAAGAAAACACCTACAAAAATCAATCAATAAATCGTGTGTTTAAGGAGTAGATTGCATTTTCCGTGAGGAACAAGACAGTATTTCTAAAGACCGATGTTTTTATACATTAACTCCTAATTCTTTATAAATTCAACACCATTTTAGTTCCACATTTTCTTTTCAATTGTGACCGGAATCAGCTACGATCGAATTGTCACAATTGAAAAGAATATCGGACGAAAAATTCCGCCTAGTGGAAAACCGGCCTTAAAGACTAGTTAACCTTTAACTGTAGTTATGGACAGAATTGGCCAATCAGAGTCGTAGATTGATATACTTAACTAGGACTTAACTATGCAAAATGTAAATAAAGAATTTTATACAACCGCCCATGGATGAACATTATATGAATATTAAGTTCGGAATAACGTTTCTACCTAAGATGACTTTGAAGACAAGCATCGTTGAATTTCTTCTGTATCGTTTCCAAATCTTTGACGCCAAAAGCCGTGGATGACATTCGATCGAAGAATCTGTCCGCGATTTTACACAGAACATGGTTTTTAGATTCGTCATCACGAGACTGGCCAATAACGGTCGGCGATGGTGGATCTTGTAGCAGCAAGGTTACAGACAATCCGCTCAAATCCAGCTGCGCTTTTGTAAGATTATCATCATCCAGACCTGGTACAGCTGCTAAACCAGGGTTTGGGATGGACAGTTTTGGCATTAACAGACCTAGAAATACAGAATAAAAGATTTTCACACCATGAAGTGATGTGATGATATAAATTCATACTCTTCATGAAAAAATTTGAAAAAATTTGAAAAAGTAAAAAAATTCTTCCAGAATAGCTTAAGAGGCTTTATAAAATAACATGTGTACAACGTGTATATTAATTATTGGTTTCGCGCGCTTTCCTTAACTCTCGCAACATTCCCGCGCTATCCAAACATACTTATATAATTTTTGGTATGTATTTTATGCATGTAGTACATGCATAAAATCTCAGTCTGAAAACAGTGAAAAGAATTGTTTCATAACTTTTTCGCATGATTTTTCCTCAGTTACAACTACGAAAACAGGTGCGACTTTTGAGTACTGAAATTTTCCGAAATGAGAAAGGAGAGTTTCTAGAGTCACGGAGTTACTATTTGCTGAATATCACGTTCTACGCGGCCTGGATGGCAAAACAATTGATTATGGTTTTTGATATGTGTTTGATTAGACGTACCATTTTGACGCACATCACCAGATGGGGAAACACCCATCGGACCAATCCCAGCCTCTGAAACCTTCTGTACCAGTCCTTGTGTGTATCCTGGGAAAATATTCGCTTTTAGGGGCGATTCATTGTTGAGTATTTCATCGCCATTTTCAGTCAGAGAATAAAATGTTTCCTCGCTGGTGGCCGTTCCCTGCGACGCGAGAGAAAGTGGCCCATCAGCCTCGTTATCGAACTGTGCGCACCACAGATCGACTTTGGAATGTTGTTTTCGTTCGTTCACCATCTGTTCGTGAAGCTCCTTTTCGATTCTTTGAAAATCGCCCGCTTTCATCGGTTTGTTTGTCATTCCTTCATGTTTAGTCGAATATGGATCTATAAAAAGCCGCAAGGAAAAAGGGCTTCAGGGACTATTCCTTATACCTCTTGACGTTCCCTTTTGAATGGAACACAACACAGCACGAACACGTCTACAGTTAGCGCCGTTTGCATATATATGTGATCGTTGTATACCTTTTTCATATTCATTTTTAAGCACAAATGATTTAACAAAACCATTTAGAAATACCCCATGGAAGATATTTCGTAAACCCAAGATTTGAGTTTCAAAACAAGACAAAAAGTTAACAGTAACATTCATTTCAAAGTTACTGTTAAACCAGAAATCTGTGATTAACTAATTCTGCGCTGTTTTAGTTTTGTGTAAAATTTTTTATGGATACTGGGATCAGGTTAATTTGGTCTTCACATGCATGGAAAAAGTCTTGACGGCTAAACCTTCAGCCATGTTTAACCTTCCCTTGCTTTGTACCGTAGTGTTTAGTTCGCAATCTCTTTTATCGCATTTGTTAGTCAAGTAAGACAGTCCGGTTATAGGAAAGGAAAGAATTACAAATATCAAAGATGCATTTGCTCAAAGTGCTTCGTTTACCTGCGTCGTGCATCCTGTTTATGTCTTCCATCATCTCCAACAGAACGTGAAGTTGTTTTGGAGACAGCAGGGCGTTCAGCGTGCCAAGAAAATATGAAAATTCAACCTAAATTTTGAAGGAAAAAAAGACTTTTTAGTTTAATTCAAAATGAATACGTACATACGATTTTCGTGAAATCATTCCAGTCTATTAAGATCAATCTAAACAACATACATCAATATTTTTGCTTTAAAGTAAATCAAATACAAATAATTTGACTGTGATAAAACTCGATATCTCAACTAGTACATATGTAGAAAGAGGCCAAGTTTTAATTTACTTGGAACATTTGTGCGTTTAAGTTGCTTAAGAAAATAGAGTCTTTCATTGACCTTTTTGACTACATCGTGTATACGAGGTTTCCGTGTTAATATATTGTTAATGGTAAGACCCAAGAGTTTAATTTTCGTAACAATTTCTAACTCTTTTCCGTTGGTTACAATTGAAAAACATAATTTGAAGCAGAGCACTTCTTTATCTGATTCAGAGAAAAAATTATTTAGGTTTCGGAGTGTCTAGCCTATTTGATAACCATGTAGCTACTTACCTTCGGACCTGCACTGGATGGATTCACTTTCCATTTCACGTTGGCCTCTTGCTTTCCGGCGCTTGAAAGTATGACTACAGGTGGCAAAAGTGATTGTTGGCTCAGTTGTTTTACCATCAAACTCTGGTTGAATATCGCGCTCTGGTACGGAGACACGGGCGGCGATGACGTCACACTATCTGGCGGAGACGTTGGTTCAGGCTTATATGGAGTATTGCGCAGAATAGTACGTGAGTTCTCGTGAAATTCGTCCATGCTCAAACTCAGGCCGAATATCTTCAGCTGTTTGTTTGCGAGAGTGGGTGGATCGTAGACGTCGAAACTGGATTGGTCACCGCAGGAGACATCGCTTGAAAGGTCTGAGTAGTTTATTCTGTAAAATGAATGAGATTATGGTTCACAATCATCAATATAAATAAACCTGAATCGCGCATGAAGCAAATATGCTGTTGCAATTTTGAATGTATGCCGCATGGTCATACAAAGCATTAAAGATTTTTGAAAAATCGAAATATCTGAATGTATGCCGTGTGGTGATGAACATTGAACGATATTGTCGGAAAATGTAAACAACTTTGGTTGAACGATGGTTCAATGGCAATAAAAATTTAGCCAACGCAAGAGGCAACGTGAAAGCGTAAGCGTCTTCTAATAATTTTGTCAAGGAGTTAGTAAGTTCTTTACTTTAGTTTGAAACGCGGGGAAGATTGTAATTGGTGTCTATGCGTGTTTCAGGCATTTATTACACCATATTAAATTGCAAAATTGCTCGTTTCTGCTAAGCCGCAGGCTCAGAATTTTTGGCGCTGTACTGTCTGATGTAATTTTTTACTAATTATAGACAGACGCGCCGATAGTTTTAGCTACAAAATACAGAAACCTAGCCACCACGCTGACGGCGAGCATACCAGAACACTGAACACACCAACGGCAAAATTTTGAATTTCGTTGACATTGGTCGCCATTTTGTATTTGATCGTGCAGTGGTCTGGTTCGAACACTGAGCTATAGTGAGTCCGAACTTTTGTCTAATTGTCTCGCTGGAAAACATCCGACGTAAGTACAGAATCAGCACAATGCCACAATCTTATTTTAAAGTCATGAGTATTGATGGAAAAACGTTACTAGATCTACTGTATATTAATTTGGCAATTTTTGTTTCCCGTAAATGTACGCCCTATCACTATTAGTTTCAATCTGGGCAAAAAGTCTGCAACCTAACTTCACAGACACAGTCATTGTCATTGGGCAAAAGCGGTAAGTAATTTGTATTTCCTGTTCTGGACAAAATATCAACTGTCTTCGAGCCAAGATGAGACAAAAATAAACGATATTATTATTAACTTTATATATGTACCGTTATACTGTAATATCGTTCAGGCCGCTACCTTCCGTTAGCTGCAGTTTCTTCGTTCAATGTGCATGTGAACGGAAATATGGTAAACATCTCATTTGTAGGGATTCACCTAAATTGGGTTGTTATAATAGAAATACCAACCTCTCTATGTGAAGTTCCAGACCAACACCTGATCTTTTGTGACGTAGGAGATGTTCAAAACGGATAAGAACATCTTCAAAACTCACCTTTATTCGGGACAACACTGAAAAATAAAATTTAAACACTTAAATATGTTGTCACGTTAATCCAGTTGACTGCCTTCTCTATCAAATTTGGGGAAGGTTGTATACTCTTGTATACATTCACATACTAGTACTGTGAAACTAGAGAAGGAACTTACTATTCATAATATATCAGAATTTGATATTTAATGAATCAACCTAATAATCTTTCTCTAATGAGGCACTTATTTTATGCCAGGGTTAATGCTGTACAGTTTCGCTCACACTCTTTTTTTACAGTTTTCTACTTAATATTATGTATGTCATATTATTCTAATTTTCAATCTCTGCTGTAGTTTCTAAGGAACTATGTTATCAGTAACCATACATCATCCCCAGTTGCCTCTTTTTCATATGGAGATCAGTGTCAAAATAATAATAGCAATCAATACTCAGCCTACAACCCAAATAGTTTTAGGCACCATGTTTAAAATTCTTCTTTCAAATTAGTCATGCAGGTACAATTTACCTGGCATGATCAATGTGTTCTGAATGTGTGAAAAACAAGTTGAGTTACCCTTTGTATTAAACTATTTATCCTAATGGTATAAAGCACATCTATTTTGCTCAAGTAACTAAGAAGGCAAATGTTACGAATGGTACCTGACTCAATAGTCTGTGCAAATGATTCCAAACCATCAAATGTTTGTTGAGATGTTGTTTCCTCCTCATTTGGTTCATTGTCTTTTAAACATTCTTGTGCAAGTTGTAAACTTGTTGTCATAGAACTAAATGGCAACGACTCTGATGTAAAACTGCCACCTAAAAATGTACAATGTAGGTATTGTATACCTAGATAATTTGAATGCACAAAGGTCTCAGATGTGAAATGCACCACCTGGTCATGAAATAAAACAGCCGAGTGGCTTAAATCACTTGACTGAAGTTGCTGAGGCTTAATTGCCGCTGAAGCACCAGTTTCAATGTTAATTAAGTCAGGGGTTGGTTGTATCAAGCCCGTTTAGATAAAACGGTGGATAAGTCGAAATTAAATATGCACTCTTACAACTCGGTTGAATGAGTCAACTTGAATATTATGCACTGAATGTGTAGTTGTAAACAATTTTTTTTTGTATTAAGGCTAAAAACATTTTGTTTGCTTGTTGAATAAAATGATAGACTTGATTTCTATTTTGAACTTATCCACCGTTTAAGCTGAACAGGCTTGATACAACCGCCCCCTGATGCCTAACCTTATAACAAACCATCCACAGATCAGTGAAAAAATCTAAAGCTAATAGTGAAAATAAAAAATCTACCACTCCTACCTGTAGATATAAGTGTTACTTACCCAAATCAACATTTTTCTTTATTGCCACAACAACTTCAAGTCCTTGGACTTCAACCTCACAATTTTCTTGCATGAGTGAACTCCATGGCACAGACACAGAGATGGTGTGAATGAAGCCATCAAGGATTTCCAAAGGAACATTTGCTCCCTCAAGTAACTCATTTAGTGCCTAAAAACAAAGCTTTAAGCTTTTATGGAGGATTCAAGATGTTTAAGCAAACAAATTGAGTGGCATAGCAATTATGAAAATGCATGTCAAATGGTGCTGATCTGAACATTATGTGCACCTTGACAGTATGTTACAGTTTTTAGAGTGGCATCTGTGCATTACATAGAGTTCCCTGTACCTTCTAACATCATTATCGACATCTATGCAAAGGCTTTTTTTATATTGGGTCAGAATTCTTCTTGAACTTCAAATAATTGTGACATATCATTGCTTTATTACATCAACCATCTAAGGGTTTCTTACAAAAGTAACGTTACGCCAATATCAGACATTTTATGATATCTACAACCACCAAAACAACCTCCAATTTTTTTATGTCACACTTGAAGAACTCAGTCTGGTCTGATTGGGTTCAGTGTGCATACATTTACACTTCATATACAGTGTATGGCAAATCTCAAGGATCTTTATATTAAGGAGTTAATAGAGTTTCCTCTTAACAAGAGGATGTACAAATTTCTGTCTTGCCATAATAAGTAAGACAATAGCTTCATCTTATTTATTTTTTAAATGGATTCCTCAGTAATATATTGGCATAATTGATCGTAAATATTGGTATACTTCGTAGAGTTTACATTTGCACTCGAACGTGTTTAGCGAAAATCCCAAAATGTTTATAAGAAAATTTAAAAATGTGCTATATACTATTCCAGTGAGCGTACTGCTAATGTAACATCATATATTTTCAAATGAAATTAGCATGAGTCAGCTTAAAACAGAATATAAAAGGAAATATTTTAACGACGAGAAAGTTATTATAGATGAAATAATTACAGTTTGAATCAAACATGTACATCAAAATACATTAAAGCTCTAACTATCGGTGAAATGGATTAAGTTAACTCACACAAACATCCAGGGGAACATCTTTTACAATGCCTTTTCCATTGAAGAGGTCGACACTCAGTTGATCCAACGTCAACTTTTCCTGTAAGAATTGGCCGACATAATGTTGCAGTAGATATCTACAAGCCCGCTTTTTAATCGAATCAGACCAGGGAAAGTACCATGGCATCTTAAACACTGCAACATTTAGTTTTGATTCGAACAAAAACGGAAAAAAACAAAAATACGACCTAAACGTAATATGTTGTCAATGTTTACATTTTTGTTATTATTGTTTCTGTTTTGGCAAACCGCGCAACTACCGGGGAGACTGGGACGGAGATGTCCGTCTCAGTGGTTCGTCTGTTTTTGTGTTTGTCTGTTCGTGTCGCTTGTCCGCTCTGGGTCCATTATTCTCTAAAAAGTGCCATGTTCCTTGTAGTGCCATATTCCTTGTATTTTAACAAGAAATTAACGTCAAAAGGCCTTGAACATTAAGAAATAGTCTGAACGGTTGGTCCTAGGTCAGGCTGGCGCACTTGCTATGTTTCACATGTTCGATTTTAAGTGATCGTATGATTGCGTTTAGCGGAAAAATCGTAAAGGAACATTGATGGCGCCCTCTGCGAGATATTAATGTGCCCCTATCGCTCGCCATTTCAAAGCACGCAATACATACCCTTTGGTTCGGCTAGGTTTTGAGGGGCATACTATTACAATTTCACATGTTTGTCATTTATTTCCCTCATTTATCATCATTTATCAATCATTAAGATTAGCATTGCGACGACAGGCTAATATACAAGGAATCAAAAACGTTAAACAGGGTATATAATTCATATGTATTCTTTTAAATTACCTTGTTTCCTCCTGGGATAATTAAACAATTTATGTAAGGTTGGTCAGTTCAAATGACATGTAGAATTATTGTTTCAAATGTTTGCTCCAGTAATTCTGTAATTGTTCAGGTGAACAATCGAATCTTTTGTGACAAACTGCTCTTTGATTAAAATCGTTTCTCTATTGAGCTAGCTGTATAACTGAACTTCGAGTGTTGTAGAAACGTGAGTAAAGATGTAACACTGGTGTTAAAGATTTGGAATGAGAATGACTTTTGAATCTCGAGATTCAGCAATTTGCAATTGCTGCAGTTTTCCAATTTTCCTTTTGAAACAATCTTTTGCGACGGCCTTTTTTCTTATCGTTTAGTTTGCACAGTTCATTAAACACATACGCGTTTCGTTGTCTTTCACAGGGGGCGAAGCCTCCCAATGCGTAAACATTGCGCATGCGCAAACTATATCGGTACATCACCTTTATATTCTCATTATCACTGAGACATAAAAATCTATTATAATGTTAAATTAAATTAATTGGTCTTTACTTATAGTGAAAATTATTGAATGACCGAAGGATAGCGTTATTAATACGACTTTATTATAGAACAATAAATAATTTCATTAGCATACAATTGGATTTACATTTAATTCCCTCAATCCTTATTTTATTTTTGTGCCTCTTGCACAAATTATATGAACCGCTCAATTTTCATTCATGACTCGCAAATGTGTAATTTTAACTCTGGAGCACTTGCAGCTTTTGTAAAGTGTCTCAAATGCCCTTTGTTTTAAGAGAAGCGGCAAGCTGGTACAATACAACAACACATCGTGTACTCAGTAGTTCAGATGTTGTGTACCCAAGCTGACGCAATATAGCTTGTTGGCAAACTTTGCTAATTTTACACGTCTTCATTATTGAGCAAGACAATTAATGCAGAGGGGCTATATAAAAAACGATTATATTGAGCACTGCTAAATTCTTCATCACAACCTCCAAGCAGAAGGACTAAACATTAAATTAGGTAAGAAAACATTTAACTGAATTGTATAGAACTCTATTAATTTTTTTGTAGAAAAAGGTATAAATATTTGTAGAATAGAGACATATCACCGGAATGTGATTGTCAATTTTTTTGTTCTGCCTTTGATTTTTCTTCAAACATGTTTGATCAAAGTACTTTTATGCAACTATTAAATGAGACAGATTTGATTTTTCTAGGGGAGAGAATGTTTTCGCCCGTCATCGTTACAGCTATATTCTTAGCGGTTTTCCCCGCTTCAATTCGTGGTCATGGCATGATGATGGACCCGGTAAATCGTGCGAGTCGTTGGCGCAAAGGTTACGGAGGTCCAAGAGAATACACCGACAACGAACTGTGGTGCGGTGGTAGAAACGTACAATGGGGGAAACACAAGGGTAAGTGTGGTATTTGTGGCGACGAATATGGGATCGCGAACCCCAAGTTTCAATATCCTGGTCCATTTGCAAAAAATGCGCCGATTGTGAGAAGCTACCAGGAAGGTCAACAAATTCAGGTTAAAATCAAAATCACCGCAAATCATTTGGGTTCCTTCAAGTTTCGCGTCGCCCCAATGACACAACAGCCGATCACGCAAAGCGATTTGAACAAGATCTTGCTGAGAATGCCTGATGGAAAGTCGGAGTGGAAATTGCCTCCTGGAAGCGGGGTCTACACTATCACCCTGCAGCTGCCCAGGGGATTGACATGTGAACACTGCGTGATGCAGTGGTGGTGGAGCACTGCCAATAATTGGGTATGTAATCACTTCGCCGTTAAACCTGAGTAAAATAAGAAACAAATTTGTCAATGATTTCTCAGGTGTTGTAGATATGACACGTGAGGGCGACAATTTGGGCCCAAAATTATACTAGCTGTCAGTTAAAGGAACACACAAATGACAACGATGCATCTGAAAAAATTATTTTGTGGATGAAAGTACACCTCGTGCATTTTCAGCAATGCATTTCGCCACGATCTGCAATTCAATTGTATTTTATCTTTTGGGCATTTGATGAAGATATGCAATATTTTTACTGCCATATATGCAACATTTTTTATTTATGAGAGAATACTGCTTTCATTGTTATAAGGTCAGCAGAATTATCAGCCTTCAAAATTATTCGACGTGACTTCGGCGGAAAGTGGTATAATTGGCTATATAGGAAAAAGTAAAAAAATTCCGGCCGTTTTCAGATATGAGACGCGCTGCTCAATGCATTTAAATAAACGTTTATTTCATTCCTACTTACTGCACAGGTAAATGACAAACCAGAATCCTTTGTGAATTGTGCTGATATTGCGATCCTTCCTCGTGGGGGAAAACCACGACCCACCGCAAAACCCAGGCCAACTCGCCCCCCAAAGCCCACCAGAAGACCGCGTCCCACGATGCGACCTCGGCCTACACGGCCTACCAGACCTACCAGACCTGCAGGAAAGAATTGCCATGCTTTACCCAACGATCCCCGACCTGCCATGGACAACTGGTGTCGGTTAAATTGTGCCCGTGGTTACTGCCCGGCAAGCCTTTGCATATGTGACTAGGTGTAGCTCAAACATTAATAAATGTGAATAATGTTGAAAAAAATCATTAGTAAATGTATAATGAAATAGCAAAAATTATATTATCTCCTTCACTCGAACTTATATATTGACGTTCAAAAAGGAATTTAGGTTCACGGGAGCCTAAACGGGAGATCTTTTTTAAATAATGAATTAAGACGCCTGTTCTGGCGTTAACGCCGCGGCGTGCCGCAATTACCCCAATTAAATCTATACCTAAGCGAACAGCATCAAAAGAATGGTTTATTTGTTCCTCTTGGAGGAATTGCCGTATAATGCGAGCGAAATCAAATCGCGCATCGAAAATTTAGTCAAAGTTTTCGAGCTGTGCACCACAACTCTTGGGAGAAAAAACTGTGACGTAGATAAATACGGTCACATACACTTTTCAAATACTAGTATATTTCGCACCAAAACACACGTACGACGAACGAAAAATAATAAAAAAACAAGCAAAATCAAAATAAAACCTAGGCGAATTTTCAACTCCGTCGCTGACGCCGGAGTAATAAACTGGTTTTGAAATTGTAACCATGAATTTTAACTACATGATAACTATAGGAATTGAATCGTTTCTCGTCCATTGTTGCCTCCCATGTTTTGGTATATATATAGCTCAAAGAAATTCTTATAGATTTTACATACATTGAGGCTGATATCCCCAACGAATGCATAAAAAAAAACTAATTACTCTAAACTAATGGCATTTACATAGGACTGGTTGAAGACGTGGAAAACGTTATGACATTTGCTCAATGTTCAAACTGATATTGCGAGTACATCATGTCAGTATATCAACGCTTCCCACCTTGAAAAAATACAAATCTCCTTTAATGTAAATATGCGTTGCAATGTTTCTTTTCTTTCCAACAAGAGAATGCGTGATTGGACTCTCTCTTGGTTGGACTAATAGCAGGGGTTAGTTGCCCGTTTCTACAAGTTAGAGATCAAACAGTTGAGTTTTTCGTACGCCCCTCCTTTTCCCCGAATTTCAATATGCGTGCATTCAAAGAAAGGTTTTGTGCCAAATTAGATGTGACGTCGCTTGTCAAATGCTTGTCAAATTGTAACGACGTCACATTTTACCATTGTGGTATAGCAATAAAATTATCATGTTAGATTACCGATCCTTCTTTGTTTGTACGTAAAGAATCTGAACAATGAGTAAATTATATTAATTTTGTTGTATAAAACTTTGCTATACGAGTAAAATCGGTTTTACTCGCACGTTGAACTATAGCTGCATAGATTTCAAAAAAGCCGTAAAAAAAGCCGAAGCATAAATAAGTTGGAAGAGCACGATGGAGTTAGATCAGTACTACTTTATTTAAAACAATAGAAATGAGATTTTATTTTTTGGCCTTAATTTAACCGATTATATAACTGTGATACTTGTATATATAAATTTTGACGACGTTAACACATAACACTGGATTTTCTCGCCACCACATCTTCGTTATCCTTTCTGAAACAAAATCTTCAATGCCTACACGCGTACAAAATTTGACCTGTTCCGGTGGCAATGGCAATTACTTATATAAACGGGCTTTATCCTACATGGTAGCTACATAAAATTGTTGTCCGAATGAAGAGAAGTGTTTTGTTAAGTCATCTTTTGTCTCCATTGCTGTACAGTTTATACACAGTTAAACACATGCACTCGCATCGCGAGGTCTCGTAGGCAATTATCAATTCCACACATGCGCAAACAGGAACGGTACATTATCTTTCGTTTTTCACAAGATCAGATTTATCGAATAATGCAAGGGTTTGATAGCGCATGCATGCATGACGTATGATGCTCTTAATATGCATTTTAGTAACTAGACAACGAGTAAATACAAAATAACAACCCACTATTGCTTGCTCATTTACACTTTCGTCTATCTTGAATTGATATTCGGAAGGATGTCTTTTTTGGGAATTTGTTTTGTTTCTTTTAATCATCATTGGTTCCCATGCAAGGAGGGAAATGAATTTGAACTATTTGAAACTCTCTCAAACACTGTTCAAATTTGTCCCTGTGTGATTGCTTAGCCTGCACAATTATTCATGATTCGTTTCAAATACAAGTATTTCGCCTGCTCGCTGTCTTAACAAAAACGGCAAGCTATTAAATTACAGCTGGACATCGCGTGTATTCAGCAGTTCAGATGTGTGGACATAATCTGACGAAATATATACTGTTGGAAAACTTCATTCAGTCATTTTACGTTTTATAAGACAAGCAAGAAGTCTTTATATTGGGAGTATATCTTAGGTGCTCACTTTGCTATCACAACAGCGTGGAAGGATCAAATCAGGTAAGAAAATTATGGAAATTGGTGATAGGTAGAAGAATTTATCATAATACGATTGTCAAAAATTGTTTTGCATGCAGAAATTCAGATCATGTAAGAAGAAGTTAATCATTGTTGCTTTATAATAATTCTTGTTATAATTGCATTATATTATAATATAATAGTATACTATCATAAAGTCTAAGCATATTAACGTACGTGTGTACTGAAATTTTTACAGAAATGATAGAATTTCAGCTTTATTAAACGGACTTTTGTATAATCATTTGCCATAATATTAATCACCTGTTTTTACACCTTAAACGCCACGTTTGGGTAGCTATAGTTGATGAAATAGTTCTAGAACACTTCGCTTTATCTAAATCAAATGATGGTCAAAAGTCATGACCGTTTATTACTATTATTTTATATTATATTCCATTATTTTGTAACTATAATCTTCGCAGTTTCACCCATGCAAGATAACTGTGGTATTGGGTTTTATTCCTTTTGCCTTGATTAAGATTTATGTTTATGTATAAAATAGCTGGAATCATGTATTGAAATTTCCGATCTTTCTAGGAACGACAATGTATTTATCTGTCATCATCATAGCAATATTTGCAGCGGTGTTTCCCGCGTCGGTTCGTGGCCATGGTATGATGATGGACCCAGTGAATCGCGCGAGTCGTTGGCGCAAAGGTTACGGAGGTCCAAAAGAATACACTGACAACCAACTGAGCTGCGGTGGTAGAAACGTACAATGGGGGAAACACAAGGGCAAATGTGGCGTTTGTGGGGACGAATATGGGATCGCTAACCCCAAGTTCCATTATCCCGGGGAGTTCGCAAAAAATGCGCCGATTGTGAGAAGCTACCAGGAAGGTCAAAAGATTGAGGTTAAAATAAGAATCACGACAAATCATTTGGGTTATTTCACATTTCGTCTCGCCCCATTGGCACAACAGCCCATCACGCAAAACGAGTTAAACAAGATCTTGCTGAGAATGCCCGATGGAAACGCGGAGTGGAAATTGCCCCGAGGAAACGGGGTCTACACTATCACCCTGCAGCTGCCCAAGGGAGTGACATGTGATCACTGCGTGATGCAGTGGTGGTGGAGCACTGGTAATAATTGGGTATGTAATCACTGCGCTTTTGGCTTGCGTTTGAACATATTCCATTGCGCATGCGCATGCTACTGACACGAGAGCTTTTAACCACTTAAATGATGACTGGATGTTATCTAAATCCATCCCAAGTAATCTCATTTTTTCTCTAAAGGTAAACGACAAACCAGAATCCTTTGTAAATTGTGCTGATATTGCCATCCTCCCTCATGGGGGAAAACCCCAACCTACCCGAAACCCCAGGCCAACCCAGCGCCCAAAACCCACCAGAGGACCACCCTCCACAATGCGACCTCGACCCCCACGCCCTACCAACCCAGCAGGAAAGAATTGCCATGCCTTACCTAACAACCCGCGACCAAACATGGACAACTGGTGTCGTTTAAATTGCGCTCTTGGTAATTGTCCAGCAAGTCTTTGTATATGTGACTAGAATGTAGATCTAACGTCATCAGATGCCAGTGATTAAAATTATTAAATGTGTATTAAAGAGCAAAATTAATATTTTGTACTTTGCGCACACGAATTTTGCTGACATAGATTGAGAGGCAATGGAAGCCTTTCTTGCTTAGGTTATTGCTGGAAGTAACCGTGTTTGGGGTTTCAATATAAGCACACGTGTTGAATAGCGCACTGTCCAGCTCTAAGTGTGAGATCAGCGACGCTATTTTTTTACAAGTAAGCGCGGTTATGTTTCAGTAATTATTTTTCCGCTGCGCTTCCCCCCTCCTGGGACAATCAACTAGTAGAACTTCGCGGTTATATGCCGAAAATGGGTTTAATCGGCCACTTAAAAACACTGGCACATTTTATTTTATCGACAGTTTTGTACACTCAGCGAAAAGAACTTTCAACAAATTACATATTTCCTCGAGAGAGTTGCTACGGAGAGAATCAGTATTTAAATTAATAAACACACACAACTGCCAAAAGTGTTCAAGTTTGAATGAACACATTTAGCTTTTCTCACGATGATGTTTTAAGGGTAGTTATGGAACATAAAAAGCAATATTTTTTAGAATCAACAGACCATTTGAAAAATAAATTCAGTCTTAAATTGAAGACAGTCGCCATTTCAAGGTCTTGCGCTTACGGTTTTGAAAAAAAAGTACCGAAAAAATGGCGGCATATTCAACATCGTGGGAAAGGGTATTTAATTTGGAAGTGCAACGTTTTTGACAAGTGAGGCAAGGATGTCCTTTAAATTAAATGCCCGACTCTCATCTTTTTGTAATATTTTACTCACTATAAACAACGTCGCAAATGACCAATATTTTGGTAAACTGAAGGAGTCTTTTTTACTTTGTTGCCGAAGTAAACAAGATTTTGTTGGTTATGATTTTAGATCTTTCTAGACGAGTGAAATCACTGTTCATGTAGACCAAAATTAGAGTGAGATCTCTTTGTTATTTTCTACCACGAATCATCCCACTTAAATCCTGCATATATGCTACAAGCATGATACAAATTTCAGGCAAATTTGGAGGCATATGCGATTTTTGAACTTATTTATCTATTAAAGTGCATGCATATTAAGATTTATATGACCGTAGCTGGCGTCTTATCTTTGGGAAGATCTTAATTGATAAAAAATAGAAGTTAACATAGTCGTATTCAACTTGGGTGTTGTGATATTTTGTGCTCCAAGCCCCCATCAGCAGCTGCATGCCTATACCCTGATTTATTTTACACTATACGCTACATTGAATTATCTGATTCGAAAGGTTTTTGGAATCATCAGACTAGCTAAAAGGGAAAAAACGGTATTCTTAATAAAATTAACGGAAAAAATTCTTAATAACGAAAAACAAGGAGTACTACTTTTGTGCGATAATATCATATGTTCTACCCTATGTATTTGAACCTAAAAAGTTTTTGTTATAAATTTAGTTACTTGGTATTTCAACTAAACACTATATTTGCTAAAACTAGTTTGTTTATTCAATATTTCAGTCCAATACTTTACTTATATTATTATTTAAATCAACAAGTGATATCTTTAACAAGTATCTGACTTCTACTCGTATTACAGATCTCTCTTCTTGTCTCTTTTATGTGCGTGTCATCTGCACACATGTAATTTACCTCCCACTTTACCTAATGTGCTTATTACTCTATACTTACAGTTAATTAATACGGGCTTACACAATGACGTCATAGACAATCCAGAAGACATTATCTTTTGGTCTATGATGACATCCATGCTTGATTCGCGCTCATACATTACATTTCTGCCACATAAAACACAATCATAAAATTCTAATATATGCACAACCCTATAAACTAACATTGGCGAATAAAAACTGGAATTTAGATTGGATATTAGATATGCTCTGAATGTACACTCTAATATGGCCTAACCAACAAAAAATGTAGTTGAAATTTTTAAATTGTTCTGATGCTCTTCTCTACAAATAATCGCTCCAAACTGGCGGTTTCCTTTGTATCTGTCCAGGGTTCGCCTTATTATTCAAAAGACCTTTTACCCGAGAAATATCGAGAGAATATTCAGCCATCTCAGGATGATCTTCTCCGAAGAGTTTTACTAGGATTTGTAGAGCTTTTTGTTTGGACTCTAATGCTGAATTGTAATCCTGCATTTCCTGTTGTGCGATCCCAATTTGGGTATAACTATCAGCTGTGTCGGGATGATGTTCTCCAAACAATTTCAATCTAATTTGAAGTGATTTGTTGTGCGACTCTAATGCAGATTTGTAGTTTCCCATTTCACATTGTGTGGCCCCAATGTTGCCGTAAATACCGGCAGTGTCAGGATGATTTTCTCCATGCAAATTCAAACTGATTCTTAGAGCATGTTCATGCGATTCTAAAGCAGACTTGTAATCTTTCATCTCGCGTTGTGTGATTCCCAGGCTGCCATAACTAAAAGCAGTATCGTCGTGGTATTCACCATGCAGTTTCAGTTGTGCTTGCACGACATATTGATGCAGGTCAAGTGCTGCGTGGAGGTTCCTCATTGAACGTTTTGTGACACCAATGTCACGATAAGTCTCTACGGTGTCGGGATGATCTTCTCCATATATTTTCAATCTGACTTCGAGAGCTTTTTGTTTCGATTCTAACGCTGACTTGTAATTTTTCATCCCATAATGTGCAAAGCCGATGTTGGAGTAACTACTTGCTGTGTTGGGATGATCTTCTCCAAATAGTTTTAAACTGATTTCGAAAGCTTTTTGATATGAAACTAATGCTGACTTGAAATATTTTATCTTATGTTGTATGTATCCAATGTTGTTGTAACCGATAGCTGTGTCGGGATGATCTTCTCCATATAGTTTCAATCTGATGTGAAGAGCGTTTTGATACGAAACTAATCCTGACTTGAAATCTTTCATCTCATTTTGTGCGTATCCAATGTTGCTGTAACTGTTGGCTGTGTCGGGATGATCTTCTCCATATAGTTTCAATCTGATGTGAAGAGCCTTTTGATGTGAAACTAATGCTGACTTGAAATCTTTCATTCCATTTTGTGCGTATCCAATGTTGCTGTAACTGTTAGCTGTGTCGGGATGATCTTCTCCATATAGTTTCAATCTGATGTGAAGAGCTTTTTGATGTGAAACTAATGCTGACTTGAAATCCTTCATCTCATTTTGTGCGTATCCAATGCTGTGGTAACAGTTAGCTGTGTCGGGATGATCATCTCCATACAGTTTAAATCTGATGTGAAGAGCTTTTTGATACGAAACTAATCCTGACTTGAAATCTTTCATCCCATTTTGTGCGTATCCAATGTTGCCGTAACTGTTAGCTGTGTCGGGATGATCTTCTTCATTTAATTTTAATCTGATGTGAAGAGCTTTTTGATGTGAAACTAATGCTGACTTGAAATCTTTCATCCCATTTTGTGCGTATCCAATGTTGCTGTAACTGTTACCTGTGTCGGGATGATCTTCTCCATATAGTTTCAATCTGATGTGAAGAGCTTTTTGATGTGAAACTAATGCTGACTTGAAATCTTTCATCTCATTTTGTGCGTATCCAATGTTGTTGTAACTGTTAGCTGTGTTGGGATGATCTTCTCCATATAGTTTCAATCTGATGTGAAGAGCTTTTTGATGTGAAACTAATGCTGACTTGAAATCTTTCATCTCATTTTGTGCGTATCCAATGTTGTGATAACTGTTAGCTGTGTCGGGATGATCTTCTCCGTATTGCTTTAGACTAATTTCAAGGGCTTTTTGTTTAGATGCGAGTTGTGAATCACGTTTAACCATTTCTGTTTGTAATTTAGCCTAAGAAAGTAATTGCCCTTTGTGTATATTTTTTTTTGGGGGGGGGGAAATATTCATAAATTCGTCTTGTGCCTCATTTATTTGTTTGGATAGGAATTGTTTTTACGCCTATTTCAACAGTAAGATGTAAAAATTTCTCCTCCCTCCAATTAAGTTCACTAGCTAGCTTCGTTTTTGTTTTAGTGTGTCATACGAATTTTCTCTTTAAATTCCTAGATGGAGTTAATACCTTAGGACCAAAGCTACAAAAGATTCCTCTAACAGACTCATCAGTTTTAAAAAAACAATCGCAAAATTTAACCTCCTTAAGTTTTCCTACCTCCTCATCTTTATTACCATTCTCCACATCACTAATAAGAAGACTTTTGATGTCGCTAACAGAAATATTCTTGGTCCGGGACCTGCGTATATTATGAATGGATGAAGTTAAAAATTACACTGTCGACTAAAATGTAGTACTATACTTCGAACAGTATAATTCTCTATTAAGAAAATTAGCGCGTTATTGCTGGGTCAATATATAGTATGATAATAAACCAGGCTGTCCATTTAAAATGGATGTCAATTAAACCCGTTCTGCGCATCGGTTCTGCTCACAACATGTTAGCGCACTTTATTTTAAAAATTAACAAAATTTCCAATGTTTCGTAACGTAACGAACCTAAATAGTTTTAGATATAAAGAGTTTGATGTTCAAAATGTAAACAAACCGTTTGTGTAAATACGGACTTGACTTCCGGAAGCACTTAACATCATTAAGGTCGTTTTCTCAAAGTTATTTATACCGGGTGTATCTAAACATTTGAGTTGACTCAGCTAAACGAGTTGGACCGCTTTGCTGAGTGACCCGCTTCTTAAATGTTTAACCCAAATGATTATAAATATTTGGATTACTTGGGAAGCGAGCGAGTTGTCTCGGTTCTAGCTTTCCGAGTCAACTTGCTTAGACGAGACAGAAATTGCCCACAACTGTAATCACTTTTTGACAAGTTGGCTCGTTGAAGCGGGACACGAAATGAGACTAACGAATGAGGTGCATGATTGGTCTGCTTACCCCGCGACTGGCATGTTGCACGCAATCTTACTTTCTAACTCGCACCGGCAAAATTACTCAACTCGCCTTTTGGTCGATTATATACCTCTTTTTTATGGCGTCCCTTGTCTCATTCACCTCCTCCATGTTTTCAATCTTCACTTTCAGTCCTTCCACTTTGATTCCAACCAGCGAAAGTTCTTCCTG